ACTAAAAATCTTTTTCTTTGGTTACAGAATTGGTCTTTGCGGATTCGACAACCCACACAGAGATCAGAAAACGGATGAACTGAAAAAACACATAGGCCAGGTAATAATTGCAATATAAATTACCTATTATTTCATTTGTAAATTTGAATATAAAATCATATTCTTGTTAGTAAGCTTCTCAGGAAGTGGTTTTTGATAAGAAAACATTTTAAGAACAGCTTTTATTTATATGAATATTTTAATTGCCGCTTTTAAACGTCTGTAAACACAAACATTATTTGCAAGTGTTATAAATTTAATGTAATTACAAATATTATTAGTAACAAACATCAAAACACATCTTGTGTGAGTACATTTGGAGCCTCATCTATGTTTTGTATGCAAAGTATGCGATGACCGAGAATTTCTCTAATGTAGATGACCTAACTGTCCATACTTGTCTACTAGTGAATGTTTATTAGTGCTAACGCTATTAAAGGTAAACTGCATATGACTATTTAAATTTAAAACGCAGCGGCAAATACAAGTGAATGATTGCGAAACTCTAGAATAGTCAAATATATGACGAAAGCCTTTGAAGGTCTTCAGATGACGTAACCAAATCATGAAGAAGACCTGATCGATGTTTTAGCTAAATTAACGAGTCAGTCAACGCCCACTCATAAAAATAACTATTCATTATGAAGCGGACTTGGGAGTTCCACCTAAAATGAAATATTGTATTGTATTTAAAAGCGTAAAGATACTATATAAAATAAGTTTAAAATATATTAAAATCGTCATTAAAAAGGAATATAAAATTCAGTAAATCTTAGATTGTTAATCTGTCTAGTTACATATTAAAATTATGTACTTTAAATAAATCAAAGCAATATACTAACTAATATCGAACTTATAACAATTTATATTTAATAAAAATAGCTATACGTCCATATACTGTCACTGAACATACTGACCCTAATTCAAAACAAAAACTGTTCACTTAATTAATGTTATTAAAGTTTTTGCCATCATTACTAACGACAATTTAATAAAAACATAAGCACCAAATTATATAACCATTTAGTGAGTTAAACAAAACACAATCGTATTCATTTTAACATACAATCATTATAATTATATAGGAAAATAATGATATATCTACAACATGTTTTGTTTATATTGCTTAATTTAACCAACCATTTGATTTACATTGTATATTCATTTTCTAGGAGGGCGAAGACAATTTAACGTCTATTATATTATTTTAACAATGACGCATTTCCAATAAATGTAAAATACAGCCGCATTGGGTTGTCCTGAAAATTAATTTTCTAACGGCGTTACTCAGAGCCGTATTCGATCTTATAGTAGAATTCTAATTGAATCTAAATAATAGTGCAACTCGCATACGAGATGTAAAGCCTAATTTTTTAACTAAAGATAGAAAGGAAAGGCAGAGGAAGATCTTTTTTACCTTCCGATTATTTCTAGCAAATTTATTGCAATGGATAAAATATCAAACAAAACTATAGATACCGGCAAACATCTTGAACAAATGTCCTTGCCTGGGAAGGGGTGGCGGGCGGCGGGAGAGTGACGTGTCGATCGCGTGATTGGTAAATCAGTTGACGTTTGTGTCCCAGATGCGCAAACTTTCCCCCACTCCCTGGTTTAATGCTCAAGAAGTTCGCCGGTATCTGTACAAACAATACAATTGGACAATATTAGTATTGAGGTTATAATATTTATAAATTATGGTGTATCTTTTTGGGGTATCTTATACCATTAGTGATTAGACTATTACTGGTCAATAAAAACAGTGCTCACAATATTAACAAGCTGTCTGGCAAAAGGTTAAATGTATCGAAACTTTTTGTTCCTAATTGGAAATACATGGCCTACACATAAAAAATAACACGTTTATAATCATTATAGATTACATCTATTTCAGTAGAAGTCACCTACCTATTCCGGATATTAACAAAACTTTACTCAAACAACTTTCAAAATCGAAATTCCATTAAATTTTATTATTAGTACTTTGTTATTCAAAAGGTACTGCAAACAGAAGGTAAGATATAATTCGGCAATTTTATAACAATCGTTAAGTTAATAAACATTTTATGACCCGTGGCTAATATTTGCTCTCGGGCATACCGCTAGTCATATAATAATTTGAAAAGGTCACTCAGTATGGCCTTATTCCACCTTTGATGAGGTGGAACCAAACGAAAGACACGAGAATTTAATATAAGTTTTATTGAATCTTATTACTTTGAAAGGTTATATTTGCCATTAAATTTCATTTACTACGCGTATCGTGTGATTACTCGTTTTGATTATTAGATTAAACATTTTATACTATCAGTTTATTTGTAATTAGTTGTAAATTATTACTTTTTCGCTCTTCATAGTGTGCGTACAAAGTACATATGTCAGAAGTGAAACTTCTTTGGAAAACAAATTTTGAAGTCTTGTTCCTATTTATACTAATCTAAAACTTTAGATTTCCGAGACTTAGAGGGAGGAAAAAAGAAAGATGTCTTAGGAATTTAATTATCATTAAAATATTAAAAGTTTCGAAAATTAATACAAAGTCCCTATAATTTTTTTTTAAATTTATTTCTTTAATATTAAAAACACGTGGCATTTTAATTTACAATTCGTGAGATTTTAATAAATTATTTTGCATAAAATATAAAATACTAATATTTCATAAATTCTCTTAACGAAATTTTAATTTAAAAAAAAATAGAATTTCTATAAGGTTCGCCCACTCTCTCTCACAATCGCTCTCTCCCTTTTCTTCGTCAAAAACGCTGCACATCTTCGTGACGCCAATATTATTATTATTGCGTTTCATCCGTAAAAATTTTACCCTCATGCGCCTAAAGATGTTCACTTCAAAAATTAACTGAAGTAATTAGCTGCAACTTATTTCATAGAAATACTTCTTGTCTTTTCCTTATTTAATTGTTTGCAGCGTAGCTTTTAGTTCATAAATAAAATGCTGTTTTCAGTAATGATTGTGAAAGCTTTTGTGTAACCTATTAGTTTTGACTTTAACCTATTAGAACCTCAAGTGAGGTCATTCTCATGTTAAATTTACTAAAAGTTTTTATGGGTTTTGATGATTAGCTATATCATGTAACTGAGGTCATCAACAAGACTCACCACTAAATCATATACGAACAACAAAATAAAAAAAAACATACCTGCTTTTTTTTTATTAAAAAAAAAAAAAAAAAAAAAAAAAAAAAAAAAAAAAAAAAAAAAAAAAAAAAAAAAAAAAAAAAAAAAAAAAAAAAAAAAAAAAAAAAAAAAAAAAAAAAAAAAAAAAAAAAAAAAAAAAAAAAAAAAAAAAAAAAGAAAAAAAAAAAAAAAAAAAGGGGGGGGGGAAAAAAAAAAAGGGGGAGAGGGGAAAAAAAAAAAAAAAAAAAAAAAAAAAAAAAAAAAAAAAAAAAAAAGGAAAGAAAAAGGGGGAAAAAAAAGGGGGGGGAAAAAGGGGAAAAAGGGGGGGGGGGAAAGGGGGAAAAGGGGGGGGGGGCCAAAAAAAAAAAAAAAACAAAAAAAAAAAAAAAAAAGGGGGGGGGGAAAAAAAAAAAAAGAAAAAGGAAGAAGGGGGAGGGGGGGGGGGGGGGGGGGGGGAGGGGGGAAGGGGGGGGGGAAGGAGAAGGGGGGGGGGGAAAAAAAAAGGGAGGGGGGGGGGGGGGGAAAAAAAAGGGGGGAAAAAAAGGGGAGGGGGGGAAGGGGGGGGGGGGGGGGGGGGGGGGGGGGGGGGAGAAAAGGGGAAGGGGTAAAGAAGGGAAGGGGGGGATATAGTTGGGGGGGGGAGGAGGAGGAAAAAAAAAAGGAAAAGGAGGGGGGGGGGGGGGGGGGGGGGGGGGGAAAAAAGGGGGAGGGGGGGAAAAAGAAAAAAAAAAAAAAAAAGGGGGGGGGGGGGGGGGGGGGGGGGGGGGGGGGGGGGGGGGTTTTTTTGGGGGGGGGGGGGGGAAAAAGGGAAAAGGGGAAGGTCGGAAACCGGGCCAAAAAAAAAAAAAGGGGAAAAAAGGGGGCAAGAAGGGGGGGGGGGGGGGGGGGGAAAAAAGAAAAAAAAAAAAAAAAAAGGGGGGGGGAGGAAAAAAAAAAGGGGGGGGATTTTTTTTTTTCTAAAAAAAAGTACAAAAAAACTCACTGAGCTCTTTGTTTTATATTTCATTTAAAGTACTTTGGACTACTTTGTAATCAGTATTTAAATATACATGAAAATTATAATTAACTTCTCAAACATACAATTTATATTAATAAAACATTTTTGACTAATTACTAACAATTAACTTTTGTAAGCGTTAATGGCTAAGGAAAGGTCTAACAATATTTTAATGTGTCTTTAATTGTTAAAAATATTGTTTAAATTACAGACATATTGATTATTATATGATATGCATGAAAATGATATTAAAAAATTGATCCTTCAAAATTTATAGCTATTTGACGTACAATTTAAAATATAAATTACAAAACTATATTATTTTAACATATAAAATAAAGAATATAAAGTATATTGTATAATAATAAAACAATTTATAACAATTGTAATTTTCTATGTCGAACTGTCAGTTGTCATTGTCATTATATGTCACAGGTCTGATAAGTGACAACGTTAAAGTCAAATCAGTTACCTATACAAATATCTATAAATTAACGACTATTCAATGTTCTATAGTAATAGTGATTCCATAGTAATCAGCTGACAGTTTATAGTACGCCATTGCTCCTACATATATTATAATAATAATAAAATTACTATCAGTTTAATTATTTTTACTCTGTGGTTTTTTTAATGTTTAATTTTAGACTTCACAACACATGCGCGGTGGTATTTGATTTTGGCGCAATTCTTACGTTTAGTTGTACCAACATTTTTTTGAGTTCTAAGGATTTTAATAGATATATTTTGCACTCGCTTAAAAATTTTGATAACAATGATTTGCGTTTGTGAATATAATCGTCACTTGTTTCAGGGTGTTAAAATAAAAATGGACGACGCGGGTAATATACTCATCAGGCGCTATTCGAAAAGTAGCGTGTTTGTGAAGAGTACAGCCGCCACGAGCAACGAGGAAACCGCAATAGGTCAGGATGTATTGAAATTGCCTGGCTATGGGCTAGAACAGGAGAAAATCTTTAAGGTAAGTCTACGAGCCAAGGCTGTACATTTTGTTCACTCGGGCTTTCTTAGTTTTATAAGCGTGACGATTTAGGTATTCGCCACGCTTTTAAAACTAAGAAACGTGAAGTTACGGCTTTTCTTTTTTGTTATAAGAGGGTTGAAACCCAAAAAGCCGTACATTTTGGTCCTTCAAGCCGGATAATGGAAATCAGTAAGAGTATCTTACTTTCACTATGGGAAATATCATGGTGTATCTTAAGATCTGTATCTTGAACTGGATTTCAAAAGTAGACGCAGTATGTATGTACCGAAGGTTAGAATTATAGTTTAGATAATAGTTTCGACCTGGAAGGCATAGTACATACTACAACTACTAAACGAAAGTGACCAGAGACACAAACACAGAAATGTCTCCTATATGAAAATGGTAACATAATTCAAGGATTGATCATATATATACTAAATAATTAATTCAATACAGAGTACTCCACATTTTTGTATCCACATAGTTACAACATAAACGTCCATAAAATACATGTATGAAAGTGATGTTTATCCGTAATCATTTCCGTCAAAACTCCTTAATGCAGTGAAATTTCGTAACCCGCTCTATTAATTTCACGGCTACCCATATAATTGCCTATGCTCACTGGAGGTAATTAGGGTCCACTGCGAAGAATAATGTTTCAAAGCTTTTCTGTCGAACGAAAGTTATAATAGACAAAAATTAAGAACAATATTATTATAGGTACATTTAGTAACGTTTAGTACATCAGGAAATACTTTGTGCCACCAACAGTAATTAAAATATAATAATATAGCAATACATTTCTTTATCTAATTTATAATTAATAATAACTAGGATAATGTTATTGTTTAAATACGATAAAATGAGTTTGTTTCATCACGTTCTTGATGCATATACGTAATAAGTAGGCTCTTTAATCGACTTCTTTTTTATACGGAACCTTCTAAATTACTTACGCAAGTGCAGTTGTTTTGAGGGCGTTTCTCATTCCGTAAAAAATTTTTTACGCCCTGACTTGATTATATATGTTTCGGAGTCTTAACATTTTTCTTAATCAAAACTAAAGTGCTCGCACATTAGAGGCAGAACAGTAAAAAATAAGAGAAAATTATTGTTATCTCTCCGTTTTGTAGAAAAATCACACACTCTGTAACATATAAAAGATAATGATTCTAATTTATAGAGCAATAATGCATTGTACACATTTCAAACATATTTGAGATGTCACGATTGTGCGTCTGCGCACGTTCACGTTTGGGCCATGACATTGCTTTATATTTTTTTATAGTTACATAACCTTTATATATTTGGAATTTCCCTTACGTAAGAATTTAAGAGTCATTTATCCATTTGTCAACCACTATGACACTAATCGTATTAATATTTCAAGAATTTTCTATAGTTGTTACGAACTTTTCAGACCAAAACAAGCTTGAGAATAGACTAAAAACTTTGGCTAGGGCTGTTAATAGGCATACATATGAGGCTATATAAATATGTATATATTTTTATAGATTGCACTAATTTTCTAATTACTATCCCGTTTTACAGAATTACAAACATACATTACAAAATCTTAAAAACATGGATATTTTAGCGCAGTTATGCAATAATAGAATATTATTTAGCCATTAATTAACAATACCTTGTTACATCTGTATTGATGCAATATTTTGACTATATCTATCTTCTATCTGTATTAGTAATTAGGTCATTTCAAACAATAGTACTTCCTAGTTCTAAGCGATGTTTGTTAGTAATTTATACACCATTAACTTTGTTTTCGTAAGTACGAACAATGCAAGAGATAGCGCCTATTATTATTTAACTAGAAACAGCCCAACAGCAATTAGTGGTATAAATTTGATTTAGTTAAAATAATTATTCACTTCCGCCACATCATAAATATGTAAGCTTTGAAGCGTATTTTGGTAGCTTTAATCTCGTATATGTAATTAAAAAAGCATTTTGTTATCCGTTAAGAATCAGGAAACTTTATTGCTATGAATGCTATGATTTTGTGCTACATATAGTCAAACATTCAATGTTATGAATTCCTTGCCCTTTAAATTAGGTATACCCTACGGTATCGTTATTTAAATATTGTTCTAATAGATATTATAACTTTTATAATATTAATAAGGCATTTAGTAGAAAAAAGTTATAAAACAACCAAAAACATAATTAAATAAATATTCCATGAAATTTTAAGAATCAAATCAAAATTATTGTCGGTTGACCAATGGGCGATATGAAGATAACATCATCAACTTTGCTGGATGTCAATAGTTAGAACTTGTTAAACCTCCTAAACTTTTTATATAGGACCTCCTTATATGATTAATTAACGAGCAGGTTTGAAATATCGTTTCGACAGGTAGTGCTATTAAGTTGTACAAGTTGATCCAATTCATAAGATAATTGTGATGGCGCTGGTTTTTAGCCAAGTTCAGCAAGCGCGGTTTTTATGAGATATATTTTTAAGTTCCATCTTTATATATAAACTGTCTGGACTTTGTTAACATAGTCACAGCTTTAACTTCTTATTTCTTTATTCTTTCACAAAATCGTCAACATATAAGATGATATTTTTATAATTATTATTTTAAGTATGCGTCTGGTAACTTTTGGGTGTGTCTGTTCAATTGGATTCAAGAATGGTTTTTAATTAACAATTATAAGTTTTTTTTTTCGTTTTGAGCTTGAATTCTTTATATTTAAGACATGTGTACAGGACAGGGGTTTTCGGGTCCGCTAGTCTTTAATATAAAACAGGTTATCTGTGACTTTATTTTAGATAAGTATAATAGCGCTGTTGGCCATTGCTTATTTTACCGTACCCTAAACAAACAAAAAACAATCACTTTTGTCCTACTATTATTATAACGTAAGGAAATACTATTTTCTCTCTGTAAAATGTAAGAAAACTAGATTTTTAAAATTTGTTGCCTTAAATATATTTAATATGTTAGCATACATCTTTAAATTCATTTATCTTCTATATTATATTATTCCAATGCACTAATAATTTACGAAATATCTCTACAGATTTAGGTAGTTTTTAGTTTATGGATCAGCTTTGTCTTTTGATTCCTTAGTTATCATTTCTACCTACGTAGTCTTATGTCAGACAAGTGTACCGATCTAGTTGACCCAGTTTCTAACCGGATTAATGGTAAATGCCTATTTGTAATTATAGATATAAAAGCCGGTTTAGGCCCATTATGGTTAATACAATTCAAGTGTTTTTGTAGTAATTATATCAAATCAATTTAGCTACTTTAAATAAGGTGCCGTGCCCAAGTTTATTCAATAAATGCCAAATTGATATTACAAAATTTATCGCAAACATTTTCTTACATCTTTATGTTACATACCTTTTATACTGTAAATACAGTCTAATAGAAAATATGTTACCTGTAGGAATACTTTTACATAAAAAATAATAGGCGTGAAATGGGCGTATTAAATTTTCATCGACAATTGAGATTTTAAAAAGACATTAAGTTGTTAGATGGAGATTGTTCTTGTATCGGTCGGGAGTTGTGTAATACGTTGATAACATCAACAGACCAATGCATAGGATGATTATTATGTAATATCATTGTAAGTAGACAGATTTAATTAGACTTTCGTTTGTTGATGAACAAATCATGAACTCTCGCTACAAGCCGGAAATAATGATTCTATTCTTAATTAGGACGTTTCATGTCTAAATTTAGATTAGTGTTCTAATTTAGACGTAAATATATAGAAATTTGAGAAGGCTGAAATAATGTTGATATTTTAGATTGAATACGAGAGTGATATTCGAAATATAGATATAGAAAGAAAAAAGAAAAATGTTGTCATTTATATTTAATTAAAATTAATGATCTAAACCTTTCTTTACAATTAATCTAATTTAAAAACTACTGTCCTCAAAAACTACCTCAATTAGCTATTTAGTTAGTTTTTATTATGCTTAAATGACATTGAAATTTGACGATCATCATAAACGTACTTATGTTTATATGTCTTTATAATGAAATATTAAATGTTCCTTTTTCTTTTAAGCTATTCGACATGAAAAAATTTCAATCAAACGTGAATCGGGAGTTGCGTCGCTCGTATCCAGACAGACGGCGTCTGGAGACACAGTGTCTCAGCGCAGTGGCTTTTGTGAAGTCAGAGAACGACCTTCTAGAATGCCCCATCTGGGCCCTGGTCATCAATGTTGTTGCTATGGACATGCTCAAGTCTAAGTTACCCCCAGGTAAGTCAAACATTATCCTATAATATAGTTTTCATAAAACCTTTTATGTATAAGATAATTTTGCAAAAATGATTAAAATGTAACTGTGATATTGTTGTAATACAGGAATAAAAATTGTTGTATTATAAAGTATACTAAGTCTCAAAGAATACTAGAGTACTTTTATACGATTCAATAAGGTGTGGAGTTGCTGTTTTATCTATGAAAACACTAGGATATCCTATATATGGTTAACGGGAATCTAGATTAAATAGCAAAAACTATCGCACTGAACAAAGAGACCAGAAGGTATGCACTTTACTGAACAACACGTGTTCCGCAGTAAAGTCTTGTATCCGGCTGACAAGCTAATTGACCTTGACGAACCGTTCGCTTTCTATAATGTTATTACGTTTATTTAAATTACCCTTATTCCAACTTGGAAACAAATATCCCTAAAATTTGTATGCATTTCTAGTTCCATAAAAATAAAAGATTAAATATTGATCCAGTAATTACTAATACAGAAAACTTTAACTAAAACAAAAATCTACATTGCGCATGGTTTTTTGAAAGTGATTTATGAATCTTATTCAATAGTGAAGTAATAAAATTAACAAAAGTCGCTTCTAGTCTATAAAATTTTGATGGATTGGATAGGATGCCCAGAATCCCATCATATCCTAATCAGACCATGGGACCACCTGGAAAGTGTACCTGTCAAAGAATTAATTCTTCAAATCAGCGCGTCTTCGGTTAACTAGAGACATTCATAAAACGAAAAATTAAGTACCTCCTCAGTAAGTATTTCACAACTATTCGCACATATTACCTACAGCTTACTTGACACCAGAATGTTATATTATTTAAGTGGCGAATAAATTGTATCGTTAATATTAATATCCTACTTACTAAAATGGTGAATTATGAAACAGATCGTGTATAAGATCAAACTGATAAAAATTATTTCATTCCCACAGACGCCTTTCACTGCTACATTGATCTATATTTTTCTGTATTCATTGACGTTTTCGACACCGTGTGAACAATTCAATACATTTAGATAGCTATGGAAAGTGTTTATCTCTCAGTAGAAGGGGATGTCTTTATGAATAGATGCTTCATTAATTCACTGCTCCGTTATATCCCCATCATCATAAGAACCCAATAATATTTACTATATGTAGGGTATTCCGCTTAATTTAATAAGGCACCAATTGAGTTTCAGTGGTGACGCTATGAAGCTTAATTTTAAACGCTCATTTGAATTCTGTAATATTTTAAATTATATTTAAAGAATACCAAGTCTGACGTTTGACACAAAGCCTCCCTGAATCCTACAGAGCTTAAGTTCAAACAAAATTATTAATTTGATTTAGCTTTACAACAAAGGTACTTTCTCAAAAGTATCGTCTGGGCTAAGAGCTTTATTTTCAATAACGAGCAGAGTTATGAGATAAAATTCGTCGTATAACAAAAAGGCCATTTGAAAATTGATTGTCTCAATAAAGAGAACCCTTCTAACCACAAATTTGTCACGGTGCTGATTCAGCAAAAACCCGGCACCGGGAAGTAACTTTATTAAATCCATTTGGTGAACCTTGCAGCTTCAATTCAAAAAAACTGAGACACGCGTGGAATCTTAATCAATAACTTTTTTATACGAATGAATTACTTTGTCGAAAATATTATTTTACGTACTAAGGAAAAAATATTATTATTAAACACGTTGTTATTGGTGGGTTACCTATCTAAAACATATCTTCAGCAACTTCATAATTATCAGTTATTTAAATATCAGTAATAATTTACATATTATAGTCCAAGATTCCAGAGCGATAAGACACAACTTATTTTCTAAAGCATAGAACCTTCGGTTCTAAGTAGTCTCTGGTGTGCTTTTTAATACCTGTACGCTTGTGGAGTTGGCTCGGTGACACCTGCGCATGTACCAGGTGAGAAAGGTAACTGAAAATCAGAGTAACTTAAGTTAAATTTTAATGACTGATTTTTATATATAATTTGTAGAATATTACTCTGAAGTAATATCAAAAAAGTCAGACGCTTTCCATGGGCCAGAACTTTTGTCAGACGCTTTAAAGCTCTACAAAAAATAAATGAACTTAATTTATTTTTAAATGTCAGATTTTTATATATGTTATTCAAATAAGTATTACAAAGTTATATTTAATCATACGGACAAATTGTAATGACCAAACATCCCCTAAACACAAAAATTACTCAACTATGAGTATGAGCGCTTACTCTATTAGCAGAGTTGTTTTTTTCTTTTCTTTAATAAGTGATGAAGTTCAAGTTTCCGCAAATATTTCCTCAGATAAAATTAGGTACAATAGGTAAGGTTTTATATAATTCTTTATCTTTCCTTTTTTTACTTTTAAATGTAATCCACACCTGTTTCTCAAATAAAATATTAGGTATATCTACACAGCAATGATATCTAACTTTTAAACCTTAATCTTTTCCCGGTTATCAGAGCCTTCACTGATTTCTTTAACATATCAACGTCATAAAATGGATTTATCAAATTCAAATAAAATTGAATATACTCCGTAAATTTCAATGCAATATTTCAATCAAAGATACTATTTGTTTGAAAATGTTAGTATTGTTTTTGCAATTTTTCTTACTTCAACCACAACGCAATCTCGCACTCAAAGATCCCACAGCTGAATAGAAAGACTAACTGTCTATAGAAACAAATCGGATCGGCCATTTATCTTAGAGCCATTATTTAGCACGAAACTGACGCAAACACTATTTGTAACGGGCATGTTGTATTTGAAACATGAATTTACTCCGAAGTACTTCCTTTTATACACTTTATTTATTCAATATAATTTTCGTTGTTTGAAATATTATGTAGGGACAATAAGTAGGCTATAGTTCTACAGCATGCTTAACTTTTAAGAGTTAATAATATTTGTGAGCGTAAAAAACACTACAAAAGTTATAATTTAATTATCATTTATTGCTTCTGTATAAAATTGTATGTTGTTTTCTTAAATTAATTATTCCCTTTTTTGTTTTAAACTTCTTCATAATTTAATCTTTAATTTCATATAGAGAAATGACAACGCAAACAAACCGAATGTATGGAAACTAATGTTCTTTTATTCGGGTTGCCTGGAATCTGTCCGATCAATCAAGTATAAATAAAATAATATCTGAAAAGTTGCAATAATGAATGAATATTGATTGAGTTTTTGTGATACGTAAGTTTTTACCGGTTAGTAAAAGCTAAATTGCCGCATATAACCTCCCCACGGTCACAAAGTGCAGTCAAAACGCTTTACCTTGTCTCAGACCTCAAGATTATGCAAGTGAACAATGAGACGACCTCTATCTTATCATTAAAATACTAACGAACAAAATTTAATGTTTTAATTCCTTCTCACGAATTACTACCACGACCTTGAACAGTTTTCGTAACCAGAGAACAGCTTACTTATTATTTTAAAAAATATGTTCAAACATCACCATTAAAAAAGAAAGTCAAAGCCATAATGTTCTTATAGAGGTGAATTAAAGAATTTAATATATGATTATATGTAGTGATAATAAATTCGCTTAAAACTTTTCGAGCTGACCTTTCAATAATATCTTCGAAGTTATAGGGCTGCTCTGGACTGGTTTTTTCGCACCAAGGTGATCTGCTGATGATTGGCAAAGACTTCCGGAATCTGTAATTGTTATTACAATGTATAAGAAGTTCATAAATGGATGTAAATACGGCATATGCATTTAACGTAAACCAGGTGCAAAGTATATATTTTGCAAGAATCAAGATAGGGGCAAAACTTATAGGTATAAATTAAAATATATAGTAAACTAGCAGACTAGGCCAAGCGTTTGGAATAAAATAATATTGGTGGTATAAATTGAGATGTAAGCTATCCTATCTTTTAAGTCAGATCAAACTGCAAACGGTATCCAAATTTGATTGATATCGGTTTGGTAGTTTAGGAGTCCATAGCGGACAAATAACGTGACACGTAATATTTATTATTATATAATTATATATATTAAGATTACAGTTATATAAAAATATTGTTTTCTTACCTGCGCAAGTAAATTTCAGAAAGATATCATGGATTTTAATCAATTTTAATTTATATAAAACGTATATATAAACTTTTATAAAATAATGAATCTGTACCAATCTATTTAAAGTAATTTTATAAATTGCGCTCAATCGCATCTCGTGTATTGTGAAATCAAATCTAATATCATAATATTGCACATCATTTCACTCAAGTAGTCTGTAACCATATCGCTAACGCCAAACCAACATTAGATCTTAATATTGGTTATGTGCAAATAACATGTGCACATGGTAGAACAATGTTTAATGGGACCTAGTTGATTTGAAACTCTGGAAAAAGAGCTATGGCTTCGTATATAATCTTCAATCAGTGTATGCTGGTGACTGCAACTTAAAGTTGATTTGGGTCTATCTTTGGTTTAAGTGATTGTGGATTTGTATCTTTTGGTGTATGATGCTTAATCAAATAAATATATGTCTACTTTTCTCTTTTTCTGTATGATACTTTAATGAAATAAATATTTTTCTACTTTTCTACAACCTGGAGGTTGTGGATTCGATATCGTATTTACCTATGCTCTATTAAGGTGACACGGGATTTCCAGCTACCGTTCAAAACCTTGATTCGATGGAATACATATTGTCTTTCTAGTAAATTACACCTATTCAACACCTTTATAACCTATACACTAACAATAAATAATTTACAAATCCCGTACCAGTAGAGATTTAGACGAAAATGTTTCTTGTTGAACGAATATTTTACGCACACCATACATTTTTATACCATAATAACTATGGGAAAGAACTAGGTACGCAATGCGGTATAGTGTACTTAGTTCCCGTGGTTCCTGATAAGATTCTCTGATTTCCGTTGCGGTTTAAGACCATTATCGGTTATGAGGCAAATAAAATTTCTTGTTCCGGGTATGAAAGTCTTTACATAACGTTATGGTCTACGCCTTTTTTCTGTCCGAACCTTCAACGCTTTAGTTTTCCGTTTCCGTATGTCATATTGAAATGACTCTTTAATGTCATGGCTAGGCTTGCATTATATAGGTCGGTTATCGAAAGCTGACGCGTTCACAGTACTCACACTAATGCAATTTCACTATACAGTATGTTTAAAAATATGACTTTTTTGCCAAGCTATATATTTTTGTCTACTCTCTTTTTAGTAAGGTTGGTTGGGTTGTAAATAAATAAAAATGTGTCAAATACATATAAATATTATGTGCATACGAGGGTGGATCCAAAAGTTTTAAGCCCGACGAAGAACGTAAAAGAGTAGTTTGTGTAAATAATTTTTCATTTTTCGACATAAGCTCCATCTAGCTCAACACACTTCACTTTTACTTCACTAACAATTCTTTCAATAATCCTCTTAGAAGCCCCAATAATAACTCAAAGAATACCAATAATTCCGTACTTAACAGATATTTAAAAATAGATATTATGCAATCGATCGAAGGAGATCGTGACATGAAAATCAAATTTAGTAAGTGGTCCAAAGAGTAATATAATCCTCCATTTTGAGTCCATTCTCACTTCGTCTTCATTTGTCTCGATGTGAACTAGATGTAGATCCCACTTTTGAACTCATTTGGTATTTAGTTGTAATTAACCTAAGAGTTCATTTGGTATTTTACATATTTATAAAACGAAATTCAATCATGAAATAATTTGGCAATGTTTTGCAGACACATTTCGATTTCATCATGAAGGTCGTCATATTCGTGACTCAAAACATAACTGGATCGTGGAATCGCACATTTACCCACATTATACAATACCGTAATATCTAAGTGGAACGTGCATCTTTAAATTGGATTTTAATGAGTAGATATATTGTAAATTTGAAAATATTTCAAATAAAACTTAATTTTAACATCCCGTTGAACCATTTAATATTTTGCATGTCACGAAACAGATTTAGATATCTGAGGCCAAGACTTGGAGGTTCTTTAAGATTCAATAGCATAAATCTATTTAGCTAATGAATTTTCTTCGCTCACACGATTCGATTGGTTAGTTAATTAATATCGCCACAAAAAGTCCAAACTAAATTTCATATGAGTAGCAATTTTTGATATATAGATTTTGCATAATCATACTGAACATTGTTACATTTGCCCTCTGCCCGTTCTCTCTGTATTCTAAACCTAGCTACAAATATCTCCGTGTTACTGAAAAAAACACGTTGGTATCAAGATATCACTGCATATGTAGTTCCATAAAAACATGAACTACTTCGTAAAACTCGATCAGAAAGTAGCTAATAACATCTGTTTACTACTGTTACTAAATTGATTTACATCACACTTTCGATAGTTCACTCAAGGATTGTTTTGCATAATTCCGTCACGATTTGTCTGGACTGACCGCTAATGTTTCAGTTACCGTTTGTTTCAAATTATGTGTTCTGAATACGTAGACTAGATACAATAGGCATCGACGACATCAGAAGATTTTTGCGACACAGAAAAAAATTATATTACCCTAAGTTGAAGTGAAGGTCCCAGACCAGTTTTATTCAAAATATTTTTAAGCACAGATCTTTAAATATAGTGGATATTAACTTTCAAGTGTTTGTCGGAACTTTTTATATCTCGTCTCCGATGCTAAAGTGGTTCCACTTTGAAAAATGGTTTAGCTTAGCATTCAGATCAGCAAGTCTAATATGAATTCTAAGGCCGTGGCGCTCGTGTAGAATTTATATGTAGTACACCGGTTTATTCTAATAAAAGATATCTTAAACATTTTTAAACGAATAAACCGCTAAACGTAAGAAATAGTAACTGTTAACTACACAAATCTTGTAATAAAAATTAATATGAATTACACAATCTTTGCATATCTAAGCAACAGACTTACTTCGTATTTGATAGGATAGACTACTTGCTATTGTAAAAGCTAAGATTCAAAGACGTGTGAGTGCGAACTTACTTCTACTCTTAACTCTGAAGTTTTTAAAGGATACTGTAAAAAAGAGAAGATTACTTAGACTACTGATGATCATAAAAATTTAGCATTTTATAGACATTAGTGTGAATTTGTCCTGGCTCACCTTTTGTGTCTGAATAGCCCTGTGCGTTTCGTAGTCAAGATTTGTTGAGCGCTATCTTGTTGTTACAATCACTATCTAGCATCAGAGGAATAATGCCTTTAAACACCTTTGTTTTGTCTTCGTTTACACTGTATTTACCTTTATCGATGGTGTTAATGTGTGAATTTTTCGATTTCCTCCTTAGAAATTGTTTATCTATATATTATAAATTGCAGGTTGTTAGATAATGTCTATTATTTTGCAATGAAACAGCGTATTAGATATCTTCAATATGGAACTCTTTACAAGGAATTAAATTTAATTTCGTTTAAAAATTTAACCATACTACTAGTGTATAAAAAGTATTAAGTTCATAATTTACTAGAAGTTTAGTTAAAAATATGTATTAAACAAATAAAAACATAAATTCTAACAATTTTCATCAAAGCAACAAAGCTATTTTAATGTGTTATAATGATGCGCTGGTGTATTTCTTTGATTTTCGAATTGTGTCTAACATTGTTACCAAAAGCACGTTAATTCCTTTTTCTATTTAATACATATATATCCATATATGTATGTATTAAATAGAAAACGTACTGACAAATCCGTTTAAATTGATACCGTTATATTGAGTGCAGTCTAGAAGATAAGTAGGATTACTAATAAACTGGAACGAACTTTACATTACTGCATGTTGTTGCATGTTATTATGCAACCAAAGATGAGATTACTTGCATGGCTGTTTAATATAAATGCTGTTATAATAATTTTCTATGAAATAAATTCGGTGCAGTTTATATACCTACTACGTTCTAAGATCGACATTCCTTTCGGCAATTGCCAATTCTTCTTTTGCAATTTTATTTTGTTATTATTAATTGTGTTAATAACTCAACTATGTTAAAAAGTACGTTAGTTACTTATGTATAAGTAGAATCATAAAGGACGTTATATATTCTAATGCTAAAACCTTCAACCTTTAACTGATCAAGTCGTGGCGAGTGATTGCCATTCGATCCCGGCATCACGACATCATGCTCATACATTGCGCAAATTTAAATGTTGCCAATTGCTATGTTACTTAATGCGAAAATTATATTTTCTTAATAAATTGGTTACAACTTAGATGAATTCCAATATTACAATACGACACGTAAAAATTATCGAAATTCAGTATATAAATATTATTAATCCAGTGCAACAACCCTAAATGGATCTTGTTCACCATCCGTTTCTTTGATCATTTTTTCATAGACTTGAAGGTCTTCTGTGTCTGACACATGTTGTTTTCGGATTTGAGACATGCTGGTTTCCTCCTTCACCGTAGGAGAGCCACTGCTAGTTGGTCATGGAAAGAAAATTTATTGGTGCCGTGATTCGAACGAACGATTTCAGGGATGAGGGTCGCACGTAAGCCCCTAGGGACTGGACTTTGGTATATATACGAATTATTTATTAAATACGTTTTCATAAAATGTACTATATAGGTTGCATCACGTAATGTGTATTAATATATTCTACTATATCTGAAATATACCTGCAATATAGTAATCTAAGATAATCTCCACTTTATAAGCAAAGTTGTATTATCATCGAATGAAATAATTGACGGGTCCCTATCTTTAAGCGACATGCTATTGTAGTTAAATATTGTTTTTATAACTAAATAACAACCACATTCCAAATGAATCATCAACAGGTATTAATAACTTAACCAATTATAACATGTCTATGCTCAATAAACTAATAAAACCGCGTAATTCGATGTGGCTTCCTTAAGTTTTTTGGTTGGAATTCGTTCTTTGATTCACCCATTTATTTTTAGTTATGCAAAGCTTACTTTACCAGTACATAACATATTGAATATATAATTAAGTTAGAATATAGAATACCTTTACCTATAATATTCATAAGGATTCGTAACAATTGTCTGTACTGATTTTGTTTTCAGTCAAGTCCCGTAAGTAAATTGGTCGCGTTTCTTTTGCTTTACTGACTCAATTTTCTTAAGAGAGATCAAAACTGGCTTAATATTATTATTACTCAGTTCAATTATGTTAAAATAAATCGCATATTTTGTAAATTTTAACCACACTTCCTTTAATTTCGTTTAAAAATTTAACCATACTACTAGTGTATAAAAAGTATTAAACTCGTTCATAATTTACTAGAAGTTTAGTTTTTGTTTTTTTTAATTTATTTATTTTACATATAATACAATATAATAAGTGACATTAGAAAACCGCTGTGGTTTGTATTAATGTAACCACAGCAGTCTTGTTTAGGAGCGCGACAAATGCATATAAAAGTAGTTTTTTTACTGTTGGTTGGCGTTAGGCAATCAAATATCTGGTTGGGTAGACCATTTATTAGCCGCGGTAGCAAATACCTCAACGTTCTCTCGCCGTATACGTTGTATGCTCTCGATGTACAGAGCCGAACTTGCGTTACCGTTCGGGTCTGTACGTCGGTTAAAATGGCTAGCTTTCTTCCTTCCTTCCTACTCGTAATACTGTAATTTATTTCCTTATTCTTATCATAACTTTTTATCAACAGTTCAAAGACCATTGGACATTAAGAACCGGCCGCGTATCCCGATTCCTGATGAGGATCCTTACAGTATCGCCAGTTCCAATCTTAACGGATCTGGATCGAGTGGTAGTTCCGGTGGCTATGGACACAACGGGCATAATGGTCATCTAATCACAAACGGGCACAACGGACATGGTGTCGTGGCAGCCACCCGGGAGCAGCTCATGATGCAAATGGGGCAGAGGAGAGAGAAGCCACCGAAGTTGCCGCCGAGGGAAAATGGATATGGACCAGCTGATATTCCTAAAGTGAGTAATATCTATTTACGCATTTTTTTTTTAACATGTGATAATGGTTATGAAAGTGCATATTAGTCGTTAGAAATACAGTTAAAACCGTTTACGACGACATCGTTTAGAATAACATACCGGTTATATTGACCAACATCAAAGGTCCCGGCTGAATTCTATTGTATTAGGTACTACTTAATAACAACGACATCGGCTATTACGACTATTGGTTTGAACGACCAAATATGAGTAGTCCTTTCGATGTCGTTATAACAGATTTTGACTGTTGTTGAAAGTCGCATAAATGGATTTTTCCATAATTAAAAGAAGTATATTATACGTATACCGCATTATTATTGTTATGTACTTAACTGTGCAATATTTCGATCACATTTAATACGCCACAATTTTCAATGAGAATTGAGCTCTGATATCAAATGCACCATTGATCTAAATTCGGCGAGTTTCAGCAATAAGCAGTTTATATAATTTGATTTGCAAATGCTATTTATCCAAATAATGATTTGTTAATTTAATATGATAGATCTGACGTTAGATTAAATTTGGCTTCAAGCAGTCAAAGAATTTCGCAATTGAAAATTACATTAAGTTCTTTTACTTATTTCAAATAAGTAATTCTCGTATTACGCAATTTACTGCAATTTTTACACCTACATTTTGTGTACGTGAACAATTTTCCTTTATCTAACGGCTATTTCAAAACTGTAAACCAATAAATATTTGGATAATAGCTTTTTCTTAATTTACTTTTAAAATAAAGGTTTCCAATACACATTTTGATAAAAGCTTAGCTTTCACAAGGTCCTAACCCAGAAAAAGCTATAGGTAGGTACGCAATAACAAATCATGATAAATATTAAAATTACGACTCAATAAAGCTATCAAAACATGTCGAAAATTGTAATTAATATTCCATCCACATGCTGATGTCACAAATATTGCCTTATTAAATTGATAAGAAATGTATTATTCAATTTTCTGACTCCTTATCGTTCCCGTCATTCAAAGACCTCTGAGCTCGGAATCATTAGTCGAATATTTTAAACCAAAGGATCCCCTAATGGAACCAAATTCATAATCTCACTGGTACAGAAAGTATCCAAATACATTATGCTGCGATAAATGCAGATTTACGCAAAGTGATTTTTAAATGGCCCACATGAATAATGATACAATTCAATCTGCTTGCAGCATGCTTTGACGTCTAATGCAATTTTATCATTTAATGATCATTATGACTAGATTTATATTGAATTTTTTAGTATATTAGAAAATCTGAACTATTTCATTTTGATTCTGCCCATCTTATTGCACTGTGCGTTTAATCGGTTGGACTAACCTGGGTTCGATTCCTGTTAAAAAAATATATTGTCGTATTGAATAACCATCTTTCCTAAATCTTTCACGAATTTTGTTCGTATATGTCTAATGTTTCCATATCTTTTACTCTAGATAACAAACTTTAATGAGCTACATAATTATTTTAAAATGGTCACAATCTCTAATATAAAACATTTTCAATTAAAATTAAAACAAAGAATCCGTCCGAAAAGAAGAAGAAGTCCGCTTAACTATTTAGGTAAATACTAATTTATAAACGTGTAATAGTGTTTTGTTACATTTACTTAAAAATGACTATAATTTGTAGAGATTTCCACAAAAAAAATACGGTACCTAATCGCTTCTTAAACATCTATTTCCAACGTCCTTGTGTAAGAACTTCCTTGTGAAACACTGTCTAATATACATACTAATTACATTTTCTGTTCATAAATTAACTTCAACATTAGATAAGAAATCGTTGATGATATCTTGATTGCGTTAAATTACTTTTTTATTGTCGTAGTGAGGGTACAATCATGCCTTAACTATATTTTTCTCTCATCTGTCATAAATATTTATAATTTTAATAATCAGACTAATCTTTTTACTTATTTTAATACAGAAGTGAAAGTTTCACGTCTGTCTATTCCGATAACACGTCACATTTGTGAGTAGAGTGGTTCCATTCAATCGTATCTATGATAAACAACGAACAGATTCCTGATATTTAAAGAAAATTTATCATTATTGAGTGTCCAGTAAGGACCTTTCTTGTCTGCATGTCATGCAAAGCGCTGAATATGAAACAGTGTGTACTCGAATTTACAGCCCATAGTTACACCAGTGAACAATGGTAGAGCAGATATCCCCGACATATCTCAGATATCACATCGGCGTAAGATAAATGACAGTCAGCGCCCGACTAAACTTCGATCTCCTTTTATTGGTTTAACCAAATGCTTTTGCTATGACATTACAAAGATGAAAAATATCCTTTGTCCCTTATATTCACTTTATAACTTGATTTAAAGCTTCGCACTTTATCTCAGTATTCGTACGTAGATATCCTGTGACCTTGTCAACTCAGCGGCACTCACATTTTTCACGATAAAAAAAGAATGTTTACCCAGATGAAATTGTAGATATCATTTAATGTTCTCTCTCAAGGCGTGAAGTATTTTCCTGGAATGTTTTTTCTCAAGAACAAAAATAAAATAGAGCATTCGTGAGTTATGGTAACATGATTCTGTGGCAGGGTGGTATGCATAATTTCTTTTGCTTGATAAAGCCACACATAAACTTACGGTCTTGTACGCCTGACTCTATCAAGAGCGATTTTCCTTTAGCAAGTAAAACTTTTAACTTATAAAATCCGTCCTAGTGCGTACGATTCTCTTCAAGCAATATTTGTTTGAAAAGTGATGAGGCAAGGGATACCTTGGCTGTACATTATGAGGCCGTATCGTTGTTTGGTGTATATCTTAACTCGTCGTGTAACAAGATAAGACTAGTCAAATACCCACGCTCTTTGTGTTTTTTGTCCACGACTAGTTTTTAATTCTATACCCCGATAAAATAATCGTGTTGACGTGTTTACATTGAGACCGAGAACTTATTTAGTGGAGTATTATTGTATGAATTTAATGCCTGGAGCTATACGATGTGTTGGGTTAATAAAAGAATGGAGAATGGCAAAAACGCTTAATGTAAATAAAAGAATAACAATGCTATCTTATTGTTATTGCATATTTGCATTATGTAGAGATTTATTGTTTATTTTTAAACTATGAACGATGTTTTGTAGGCTGAACCGGGCATTTTTTACACGCTTTATATTAGCTTCACCTGTATGTATGTATGTATGTAACCGACTCTTTCGGACTCGATTTTGACCCACTTTAAACGGACAGATTTGCGCGCCTGTCAAAGATCGATGACAATGCAATAATCCGAAAAAAAAATAAAAAAAATAAACTAAAAAATAAATAATAGTTTAAAAAAACTAAAAAACACGCTTTTAAAGCACATCAAACTAAAAAGTGAAAAATAATTCCTAATTTAGGCTGAAAATGGTAATGAACAAAAAATTATGGTATTATTGTGAAAAAGCGTGGGGCGCTCCGTGCCATATTTATTGTAAATATGATCGACACATATCACTTCCATTGTTTTTGATAAATTTGTGTCATATGATTTAATTAATAGTAATTTTTTTTCACAGCCGGATTACGATGACATCGATGATCGTGTACCTACGCAGTTCCCAAGGGGAAAGTCTGATAAAGGAAAGGATAACAAAAAATATGGTAAAATAAAAATTATTTCCTTCACAGTATTCTTCCTTTACAAAGATATATTACGTTTTTGATATAAAACTAAAAATGCTCAAACCATCCACATTTTTTATCACTTCAATGAGGATTAATGCTAATTAATTGAGCGTGTATCTTCGTAGCTTAGGTCTCAAGTAATTAAAATACCCTTTATTCATTTAGAAAAGCGCCAGTACTTAACCTTAATTAACAGAAATGTAGATCCAAATGTTTGAAACAATTGTCGCATTAATTATTCTGTAGTAATAAATTGTTAAAAAAAGTAGATTGTTTTCCCAACTGCTTTAGCGGCTATATGGTTTTAGAAGATATAGTTGGTTACAGATTCAAATAGTTAATTAGCCAACATTGCTTTATTGTACGAAAATTATACATTAGTAAAATTAAGTACTTACAATTGAAGTTGAAATTTTATTTTAGCAAGACGCAACATCACACATATAACAACAAATATTTTTATCAATGAAACAAACACAGATATGAGTCTGTCCCAAGAAGCGTATCGAGACTTTAAACATTTCTATTTATTTATATATTTACTTTCTTTTTAATAAAAAATATTTCATCCGTTGACGCATTGAACAAGTCACACAAAATTTAAACAGCAAAACAGTTCCTTAGCATATACCGTTTCTATAAGGCGTAATTTTGTTATGCGATCTTATAATGTTCTAAAATATAGCGATAATAATAATAATATTATACATTTATTTTGGATTATATTACTTCATATATGTATGTTGGTAATGCTCCTAATTCCTATTATGGTTTTATTTTGCTGCATTAAGCCATTTTGTAAACATTATGATCGACCTTATCGCGACCCGTACAATTTTTTTTGTTATTACCATTCTTCTCACGTAAAATGCCTGTTACCAACAAAGTAAATTGATCAGTTTATTGGTGATTTGATTCTTGTGATCTCATCGTGGAATTACCAAATGATACTAAATCGTTTGTGAATAATAAAAGCTAAATTAATAAGCCATATTTCACATAATAATTGTTGAATTAAAATCGCTCTCACCCTTTCAAATTACTTAGAGCAGAGGTGAGTAGACAATACGGTTTCACAACGCGGCTGACATTTCGGCAAATCCTTGATATTTGAGTTATCGTGCGGGGCGTAGGATGCCAATGTGTAGGGAATGTTCGTTTAAATACCCATTATATCAGCATGACATCATTCGGCCTAATACATATATTAGAATACGAGATACAAAATACGGAAATTATATTATTTTAATTAGCTTTGCCGTTGTGTCTACAAAATTTTACTTCATTGCAGATGACCCCTACTACTGCGGTCTGCGCGCTCGTGTGCCAAACTTCGTGAAGACGAACGGAAAGCACGTCCTGCCGGCGATGACTGAGCGGCTCACCCTGAAGGAGACGCCCGTGCCGAGCAAGCGCTACAGCGTGGCCCACGCGCACCCGGGCCCGTTCCCGGCGCACTTACCGTTCGCCCCAATGCCACAAGCTGCCCTTTGGCACGCACGTTCCTACGACAACGGAATCGGTGCGTACGAACGTCCCAAAAAGGAGAAGCTCATGTATCAATTCTATCCTGACAGAGAACGGAGGCTCCGCCCTTTGGTGATTCAGCAGCCCCGCTAACTAACTCACTTTTAGGGATCTCCGCTACAATCTTGGTATTTATTCTTTTCTGTTATACGCTTCGCTTGGTAGCACGCCTCCGCTTACTTACAGTACCATACTTTCAGTAGTGTCGTTCATCACTTTAGTCATTTGGGACTTCTTCACACGTGAGTAAAGTCTGATTATATTTTTTTACTGAGACATTGGTCACGTATCGTCATTTTCATGGCATCGTTTAATCTAAAAACTTTACCTTTCATTTCTACGCTGTTTCGTCTTCTCTCTTTCTTTTCCAGTTTATTTCAGCCGAATGCAGTGAAGTGCCGACCATGAGCTGCTAGTAGGATTGCTTTGCATGCGTCAGAATGTTAATTTAGGTCTAATATTGATCACCCTTTTGATCAATATTTCGATTGAATTACGTCATAGAACCTTTGGAGATGATTTTCGTTGCATGTTTACTGTAGGGATTTATACCGAAAGCACACAAAACAATTTAAAGTCGTGACAAAAATATAAATATAGTAATACTATGTTCAAATAAAGCTTGTACGATATTGGCAGTAACATGACCATGTACTTGTAAAATGTAGCGTCAACTTTACACAACTCGATTTTGCTTTTTCCTACATTTATTCCTTCTCCATCGCTTCGAAATTGTATCGAACAGATCGTGTTTTCATAATAATTTGTTAGACCTACAGAGGCGAACACAATATTCACAAAACTAAAAAAAGCACAAAGTTTAATATTAATCTAATCTTTTGAAAAATGGGTAGTTTGTATGCAATTTGATTACTAAACAATCAAAATCATTTTATATCCTGGTTTGTCTAATACATTAACTTTAGACATTTAACATACAGTAATTACCTGTAATCTCTTATCGTAGAATTTAAATTACGTCGAAAAGATTTATAATAATGTATAGGTACACAACATAAAATAATTAAAATTTCTCAGTAAACAGTGTTATATTGAAGAATACAGCGCCGATACTCTGTAACTTCCAGTGATAGCGATTCCAACGTTATTGTACCGATATAGTTATTACAACATCGGTACAAAAAATCGGAATCGCTATTAATTTTATTAGCTTTTAGTACCGGCGGCGGCCTTCGGCCATTGCTACAAAATATGTATCACCAGGGTTCCATTAGATTTGCTTATAGCGCAATTTCAAATTGAGATTAGTTAATTTTTCATAATTATATGCTATTTATTACAGACGGTGATCACTACGACCCTTACGCGTTGTACGGCCGCCTTCCAATGCCAGGGCGGGGATTCCCACCGCCGCCGGCGCCCAACGCTCGCCACATGTTCATCGAAGAGTGGGACTAAAACAACCACAATGGGGAGTTTGCCCACACAGAGCAACACTAAGTAGTCCTTGAATTTTTATGTAAATAAAAATTGAAGATCTAAAAATAAAGTAATGAAAACATGTCTCAAAGTCTACAGTAATTTGAAAATGGTATCTATAAGGGAGTTCACACTCAACGATGTTGCCAGATTAGCAATTTTACCCATACTGGACTAAAAATGTTTGATATCGTCTTGATATCAATTGAATTTTTCAAATAGCCTCCCTAATGCTACAAAAGTAGCATTGTAAATATTCGATATTTGTAAATTATAATTATTATCCTTAAATTAGATTAGTGTTATTTTTTTATCATTTTTACTTTATAAATATAAATTAGAGTTTTAAATCACTGCCACTTATTCAACGAATTTCGTGTTCATTGTAAAGACTTGATAGCACTTGGACAGATGATCGGCAGGGCTACTCTGTAAAACCGATTTCCAATAATTGACACAGTAATTGGAATTATCATTTCTGAAGTGTCAATTCCAATAATTTTGACGTCATCTTACGACATTACGGAGTAGGCCTGCAGACTATTTATTATAATTCGAATTGTGTCAATCCTAGTCAGTTCAGGGTTGGGATGAAGTTGACATTTATAATTATTATATTAATTTTTAACTGTATTTACGTCTTCTAATTTCTTACTTCTGTAAATAATTTCTAACTTTGATCTATGTAGGTTTATTTGTTCCTTATAACGCGATCTACTTTTACCCTTTCTTTATATGTAAGTAGGTATAAATACTCAATTATTTTAATATTATCTTACTTTTATACTTAAATAGCTGTATATTAGTTTTATCGGTAGAATACATTATTGACAATATAGACTAAAATTTATCATCAAAATTCTGCTTTGCCGGTGCTAGACAGGTTACCATTATATGAATACAATTTATAAATAAAAACCTTTTTTGACTGGATTATTTATTCATCTGAATCGCAAATTCTGTTAGAATGGAATTTTTTATATTTATTATGTAATATAGCCATCGCTGTAGGCATAACTATTTAATTAGTTAAGTAATAAGCGTGCGGGCGACTTTCAATAAAACCCCATTTGTATCTTGGGTGTTAATTGAATAACATATTTTAAGTAAAATTTGTATGATTTAAATATACAATTGTATTTTTTAATAGTATTTTTCTTTATTGTACCATATCCCACAATAAGTTCACAATCCTATATACGTATATATGACTGTTTCATTGACAGTATTTAAGGCAAATGGGTGACCAGCCGTCATGGGTGTCTCCAGGGGCGATAGGCTATTATAGTCGAGCTACGTCCTGAAGGGGCTGGACAGGGTCTTGTTGTATCAAAAATGTTTGACTTTGTTACAAAAATGATTTTGCTAGTCCATATTATGTTTAAAAATGACCAAATCAGCTATTTAATTAGTAACGACATTGTGTGATTTTCGGTGTAACTACAACATTATAAAAATACTAACTTGTGTACTTAGACTCGAGAACTCTATCCCTTTTCAGTTTTCTAGATAACCATATTTATTATAATAAATTTGATTCCTTGTTTATAATGATAAAGAAATATTTTTAGAGACTAGTTAATACTAATTAAAACTAATTGTAATAAATCGGGATTTTTTTAGATGTTTTTAATACTCGCAGTTGTTATTTTAGAACATTGATCTGAGTTTAAAATACTTCTGAATTATCATCTACTCCAATCCAACGCTTAATAAGGTACTTAACATGTTTGGCAGCTTCTTTAATTTCCTCTGAAGCACCAGGCGCATCTGGAAATAAGTCGGTACAATGTGAAGCTCGATGAATCACAGTAGCTGGCGCTTCATACGAAAGATCTTCAAGAATACCCAACCTACTCCATGGATCCATGTCACCGTTAACGAAAACTACACGAGTTACGTTTGGACTTAACCCACCGTAAATTTTGTTAGTTGTGTCTACGCCTTTGTCAACCCTGCCTTCATTGAAGTCAGACCCATACACATTTCGACATGTTTTTACAAAGAAATCCAGTGGAAGTACTTCGCCAAATGGTTGTGAATCTGACGTCGTTGTTTGGAAATATCCAAATTCTGTACAAGTCTGATAAACCCATGAGTATGCACCCAGGTCTCTCTGTATATCCTTTATCATAGAATCAAATTTAAAGTTCTTACAATTGCTTTTCGAATTCCTTAACATTGTGTCAGAAGAGTTATATCTCATAGAGTTGTCTAACTTTGAGCAATGTTCTTTGATACGCTGTGGATTTCCATATTGAGAATTAGACATAAATTCTCCTGTAAGAGCAGAAAAAAACACCCACTGATTTTCTACGACATTCATATCGCATTCAGGACAAATATTAAATTTATTTTTTAGCTCTTCAATACCTTCGGAGCTCTGAAGCATTTCTTCATATGTTGCAAAATCCTTTTTAATTTTGTCCAAACACTGTTCAGTACCATACAATTCATAATTCTCATTAACTTTTTCTATGTACTCAAAGAAATCTTTTTTCGCTAATACTGGCCCACTACTTGCAATCGCAGCATCTACTAAATCAGAATACATAAGCCGCATCCAAGCCGCTAAGTTGCCCGCGTAGGACCCTCCAATAACTACTACTTTTGATAATTTAAAGGTCGGATTTGTTTTTATACTTTTTATTAAATGTGCAATATCAGCCATTGCTTGCCTTGACGATAACCATTTCATATGTTTAACTTTCTCCAAAATATCATCAAATGGTAAACTCTTCCCATAGTACCGATGTTCAGTCATGAACATAGCACCATTTGTCTCCTGCGCGAGGGCTTTTATAATGCCAGCTGATAAATAACGAGGATTTGCCTCACCCTCTCCACCGATGTAAATGTATACGGGTCCTTTATATTTAAAAAAATTGAGATTCTCAAAGTACCTCATTTTCCATGTTTCAGATTTATCATCAAAATTATCTACCTTCTGCAAGATCCATCTTGTATTTGTTGTGCTTATGTCTGCACTGGTTGCAATTTGGTTAAGAACATTTTCAGTTAAATATTTAAAACCACTGTTATAAAATACACTGGAAGTGTATACAAACTGTAGGTATTTAAATATCATTACAGATTTGAAAACAGTCACTTTGCGACCGTATGTTTGGGAAATATATAGGCAAATGCTTACATTGAAAATTCGTAATTCGTTATTTATTATATAATAATTTTACCTTGCAATTATGCCGTTTAAGATTCGTTATCACCGTTAACCCACAAAGTAAAATTTATGACGTTGAATATTTTGCATTCTTAATTAACTTAATTTTAAATACCTGATTAAAGGCGCTAACTAAAAATAAAAATGCTATTAAAAAACTATACCTAGGTGAGTAAGTATGCACCCTCTTGGATGCAATAGAAATGTATGCGATTTGTGACATTTTTGCAATGAGATTTTGATTCATACGGACAATTCAAAGAGACTTTGTGTTATATTATGTTTTCCTACTTTATAATTTCAATATATAAAGTAGGAAAATGTATTTGTAAATATTCGGTTCAAAAACATTCTGTGCTCGAATGTTTTTTTCTTCTTTAGTTGTGGTTTCTTTGGCCAATAGCGGAGGCCTGCTTGACCGGACCACGTAAGGAAACTAAAATTATTTCATCCTTTTCGTTAATAGCGTGCCAACATACGACAATATAATATATTATACAGGTGGTCAAAAAGACGTGGATCAAACGCAAATAGGTAGGTGAGGTCATCAGCTGCAAAAAATTGTACAACGGGAGGTCTCTAATCTCAACCCCTACAGAGTTATAATTTATTTTGCGTTTTATAAGAAAATTGCCTTTTTTTACTCATTATTATTAAAATTCGAAAAAGTTTACATCCTGTATCTTTTTATAATATCCACTAGATTGGTACTGATGAGTTGTTTATTGAGTGTATTGAAGATGATATTAAGTTATACGATAAAAAGTTTTTCAAATCAAAACTTTTTGTTTATTTCAGACCCCACTGTGGAAAAAAATTACTCGACCGAAAAGTGACCCTGTATTACAAGTTTTGGCTCATTTAATAGGGATTCTGAAAAGGTATTATTACACATGTCCATGAGTCGCTCTAATATCTTTCTAGGACGAGAAACATCAACAACGATTCGGACTTATGATAGATTATTTACCTACCTGTGACCAGTACTGTGTGAATCGAACTAGATTAAAAATATTGGACAGATGGCTGGAGGGTTACGTAGGAATTTGATAAGACGGTGCAGATTAAGTATTATGGTCAGAGTCAGGAATTTTGAGCATTGAGAAATAATTGTTTTAATACAATTATTTCACAATCGTTGTTTGAAATTAATGATCCACGACTTTTTGGCCACCCTGTATATCTATATATATTATACCATTATCCTTGAAATGTCAATGTTGAGTATTAAAAACATATCACCCACATTTGAAGAATTTAGTTCAGCAATAACCATTAAAAAGATAACGAATGCCAGTATTTATCTACAAAAATTATTGCTTTCAAGTAATCAAAATAATAAAATTTAAGTTTTGAATAAATTGAATTAACAAAAACCGCTCTTTAGACAATAAAGAGTCAACCAACCGTTCATGTTTTTAACTTGATAATTTATAACACACAATTAATTTGTTTTAGTCTAGTAAAATTCTATTTATCGCTTAAACTTAGTCGCTTGTGTACTGGTTTTATTAGGATATACATATGTATAAATTACTTTGCATAACAGAAAAGAACAGATTTCACATTTTATCTGCTGAGGTTTTTTTTAATCGTTGGAAATATATAAAAATTCACTATTACGCTAATTAAATTTTCCATTTACCTCAAAACTGAGCAATGAAGTTATTTGTAGTAATCATTGGTTAATTGTCACGAATATAACCAATGAACTCTGTGATGGTTGCCATGGCAACTACTTAACAACAACGAACTCGAGTGAACGCTTGATTTAATTATATTCAAAGGCTAATTAGGTAGCGAGGATAAAAATATGGATTTTTCTGAAAGCAGTGAACATGCTAGTGTTGGTCGACCAGACGCTTCGCGACCAGTGTCCCGGCGAGGTTTTCGAGAATACACAAATAGTGGGTCTGTCTTGTCAAGGTAAATTAGTAGGTAATTGATGTGTTAATTATATAATTTAGATTTTGTTGAGTGTTTTTGAAGATTTTTCGGTACTTGCAGTGCATCTTATTTTCACCAATAGATAAAGCTTAGTTCGGAACAACGTAAATTGAATGAAAATCGATTTCAGGGAAAAAAGTTTCCGACGAAGACATAATTGATGTCCTTAACATTATTGGGTATTTCTCTCAATCTCATTAACAAGCTTAATATTAAGTCAGAGCATAATTGAGTCTTAGTTTTATTGAATCTATGTCAGGAACGAAAGTTATATAATAAGATATTTGAACTTATAACTTACGAGTATATTGCGTCTGTTCTCATAAAATCTTACTTTTACGTGGTTTTATCTTCTCAAAATATAGTCCAAGTTAGATAAAAAATGAAAAACAGATTGGGCCACAAAGCTTTTATCGTAATTTTACAAAGCATTTTGCACTAGTCACGTAGAAATAAATTCTATTAGTAAATAATGAAGGTTCAAACGTGAGATTTGCACAGTTGACTATTGGTGCCAGAGCCAGGTTCAAAAATTTTGTTAAATTTATTAATTAAATGTTACCGCAATTTTCGAGTGTTTATTACTAAGTTTTAAACCCCCCCCCCCCCCCCCTTTTTGGGAAAAGCCCCCCGAAAACCCCCCAAAAAAAAAAAAAAAAGAGAGGACAAAAAAAAAAAAAAAATAAATTGTACTTACCATAGCTCAATTGGCCTCACCCACATTTTTTTGCTGTAAAAGCACACCAAGTTTCACCAACACAGTATGATGTAAAATCTTTTAAATGTTGGGGTGACAGCCTATCCAGGCCAGCAGCTGAACCTGGTTTATAGAATTTCTTCCATAGACTGAATTTGAAGGCAGGCCTGGGCATCTGTGGGAGGGTCTAAAAAGAAAAGGTTTGTCTGGAGCACTGGGATGTTTTGTCGAAAGTGCTGCAAATGTATCCGGGGTGTCAGGGGCCAGTACATCATTTAAGAAAAGAAGTCTTGCGGGGGGCCCCGTTTAGATCTCATCGTTAAATTTTGAGTTAGCGACATGTGTTATCAGTGTACAATATGGAAAAGTCGATAGTTTTTCCCATAAGTCTGTACTGTTTTCTGTGATGTATGATTCCTTCCTGTGATGTATCATTGCCCCGGTGTATGATTCCAATGAAGTGGCGATGGAGATCCGGGCACCCCGAGATATTCGTTTAACAACTGATTTTTTTTATAAATTCAAAGTAAAATTTTAAGTTTGATGTGCTCTGGTGTTGCGTACCTATCTGTGTTGTTATTAAACGAAAGTTGTGATTTTTATGAAATGTCTCTGCGTTTTGTGTATTTTCAAGACTCGGATTGTACTAAAACATTTTTTACATAGGTCACAGGTCAATTATCCATGTGTACACTCCGCGATTATCAAAAATACCAAAAAAAACACACACTTAAAATATGACAACAAAAAAAACATCTACATGACAATAATAATATATACAAAGAAACTATGAAAAATGCAAAACGCAAAGCAAAAAACATAAGTGAAAACATTAGCACAGGCACAAGCACAATTTTAAAAGCACAGACAGATCAGGTTAAGAATGAAGCAAATCTCGTCTGGCCACAATTATTCATTATTTATTTTTTAGAAGTAGCACAATGCGGCCAACATCTGCCTACAGAGGCAGTACAGCCCGTTTGTCCACCGCGAGTTTTGGACCGGCACCACCTACAGCCGGTCGACAACAAACAGCGATGTCCGGTTTTTCAATGGTGAGTCTAATGTACCTTTTGAGGTTTTATCTACAACGGAATTTTATTGCTTAAAAAAAATAACAACCTGTTAAAAATTATTATAAAAGCTTGGCCTTTATTTTCAGATCGACAGACCCATAACCCAACAAGGATTATCAGGTTTACGAACAGGTACAGGCAGAGGTTTCCGCACCCGACAGTTACAGGACAAACGGTACTGGGAAGAACTCATGCAAGTCAAAGTGCGGGAGATGAAATCTGAAATAGCCCGACTCTCCGAACAAGCTGAGGCTGGCGAGAGAGAGAAGTCAGCTAAGAAGCACTATGAGAAGAGAGTACGTGAACTGGCACAGGAATTAACTGGTAAATACTATTTGGTATATAATATTTAAAGCAGCAGATCATGTATCGTCTGTTAAATATATACTTTCAGGTCTTCAAGGAAGACTATCTGATTACAATACAGCAATAAGGATTTCAACTGGGGAACTATCGAAGCAAGCGGTTGAAGAGCAACAGAAAGAGCTGGAGAAAACTAACAAACAATTACAAGAAGAGGTTGAATTATTTTTTTTAGAAAAACAGAGAAAGGAAAATCAATTAAGACAGTTAAAAGAGCAAATGGATAAGGTAACGGGTTGTAAGTACAAATACGTAATAAGACTATAAGTAAAAATAATAGTATTCATTTTATAGGAACAAACAACTCTGGCCAGAATTTTGACGGAAATGACGCAAGATCAAAAATTTCAGTACAGTGATGTAGAGGCTACGGCTGCTACTCTAAGGGGTGAAGTTGAACAAGCAAGAACACAAATTGAACATTTAAATAAAGAAAAAGATGAATTCTTTAGAGAGATTTCTTCAACACAGGTAATCGTAGTTTCTTAAATGCAATGGACTACCTGTTCATTTTAATCAATTCACTTTTACTTACAGATTAAGATGCATCTTTTAGAGCTTCATAAGCGACTAGCAGCTGCGAATGAAAAGCGTGACAACTTAAAGCACGAAATTAATAATCGTTTAGACCCACAAGAGGAAAGAGAAAAGTTACTGCTTCAAGTAATTCACTTACTGTGATTATGTAACAAATAATATTTGATTTAATCCATAATTGGTAATCTATAATACATTTTAAGGTTCGTGAAGACAACGCGGCTATCGCTGCTTTAGATAGTAATGCGGCAAATTTAAAGCAACAGATCAAAAATGTACAGGAGTTAATCGAACAGGCTGAACAGGTAAAGTTAAAGGAAGCTGTAAAAAAATTTGAAAGTGGCGAACCTAATGTGTGATTTTTTTATTAGGATCTGGAAGAAGGAAATTCTGAAAGACATAAAAAATATCGAGAGCTTAAAAAAAGAGAAGAGACTATGGACGCTTTTCTTTCGACATACGAAGACGACTTGAAGAAAGAGAAAGAACGAATTGAGCAACTGGAAAAGGATATCGTTTTCGGATTAGAACATAGCAGCTCTAATATTGACTTAGATCTCAGTGAAATTGATAATTTAAAGCAGAAAGATGGTTACACATATTATGACGATAGTAAGAAAACGGTTGAAATGCTAACAAAAGATTACGAGAGGTTTCAAGCTAATTTAAAGAAAGTAAGATAAGACGATTAGTATCATCGTGTATAAGTCTTAATGATGTACTTGAATTTTTAAAAACATGTATTTTAGGTCGAAGCGACGCGTGATCGTCTCGCCAATGAATTACAAACTTTGCCAGAAAAGACCCAAGTCATGAAGGAAGAGTTGATTTTAATATCAGATTTAGAACGATTAAGAGACGATGGTAAGTAGAATTTGAATAGTTTTGAGGTACTAGATCTTATTGATGTTGCGCGATCTAAACTTTTGCAAAAATATTTTGCATGTTCTAGGTGAAGAACAAAAGAAAGATTTGGAAAGCGAATTGGGGCAAATAAAAGAAAAATTATCCCCAACAGAGAGTGCAGTCATAGAAGCGTCCAACAAATTAAGGAAGTTGCAAGTAAAGTTGCTCCTATATTTCTAAATTTTTCTATTATAAAACTATAATACCATACCATGACTAAAAAATATGGCACCAGGGGTCAATTTATGTTAATGGGATGAGACCATTTATATGTCAAGAAACTTACCAGGAACCGTGATGGGGTCAAAATAAAACAAAACTTATTAATATGTATTATTGCAATCGCATCAAAATTAATTATTATTTGAATTGCCAGACTGTGCACTGCGTACTGCTGATTATAGTTTCATTAAAATGTGTTTTAGTTAATTAAATTACTTATTTTTTGTAGGCAAGTCTTGACGGAAACGAAATGTATGTAAAGTTAAACAGCCTTGAAGAGCAACTGGGTCAACTTGAAAACCGAAAAACTATTTTGGAGGAAGACATAACTTCTATTAATCTAAAGGCCGATTATGAACCTCTAAAGAAGGAGGCATTCGGCGATTTATTATCCCTTAATAAGAAAATTATTGAAGATTTAAATACTAAGGCTTATTAACTCATACAAATTGATTGTTTATGAGATTCGATACAAATATATATGTAATAAAATATGTTGACTTTAATTAACAGAGCAATGTTGGGCTATTGGCTTAAGCATGCGACCCTCATGCCTGAGGTCGTAAGTTCGATCCCCGGCTGTGCACCAAACGATCACGAAACAAATACAGAAATCTGAGGCCCAGACCTAAGAAGTTGTAAGTGAAGTCCAAGTGATTTCGGAAGATTTTGTTTAATTTTTAAGAATAGTTATAGATTGCAGTCATATATATCACGATGTCGTCGAGAGAAGAAGCTTTGTGTTATTTGGGAATTATATCATACTACATTTTAAAAACTAAAATAATAAATAATTATAATTAAATAATATAATTAATAAAATAATTATATATTAATTATTATTATTGTTTATTAATTCTCATTTTGAGAATTTTCTAAACTAAATGATTAGGCGCTTGCGCAGTAAACCAATATTAACAAAAAATACACAAACGTCAAACACCACAAGCGTTGTGCATCCACGGACAGGCAAAACAAAATGGCGGCTCCCGGCTCGCAGCGCTGCCACACGTACGAGCCGAGACGAGCTACGAGTAAGATTTCAAACAGGTTGGATCGCCGGCGAACTTGCGCAGCAATTTTAAAGTACGCGTTTTTAAGGTGACACAAAGGCGAAAAAGGACGTCGAGCCACAAGTCCGCGTACTTACTCGCACGTCTATCACCCACTTAAGAAAACCTTCAGCAAGCTTTCTTTTCAAAATATTTAATATTTCATGGATTCTCTAACTCCTTAAATAAAATATAGGCTGGGTTACTAAATAGTGAGCTTTGTGTATGACTCTTCAGTAGTAGTTACATGAAGAAACATTTGTTAGCTGAAATGCAATGTTGGTATATCTGCTATTGAGTGATTTTGTGTCTGAACTATGTGGAATCAATTGCCTACGGAACAAACCAATAATTTAAAAAAATATGTTGACAAATCAAATTATGAACCGTAGCAAAAGGTGGTTAAAATATAGAACAGTAAAAAAATGACACTGCATATTTATTAAATAATATCACAGATACTAACAATTTTCACTTACGAACATCTACTTAAATATTTGCACTTTTCACTTTATCCAAGAGAACCGATAGTTCGGAGGGTATCGGCTTATTATTCGCTTTGCATATGGAACATAAGTTGCGTACAAATCTCTGGGAGGGAGTAATCTCAGCGTCCTGCATTCGGCTCCATAGAGCAAGAGCATTTTTATAGTCATCCTCGCGTTCTAAAAAAAACATTTCAGTTAATAGTAAAAGAGCTAGTTTGGGAGCGTTGAAGTATTACGTAACGAATTTTGGGAGACAGCTAATAAAGATACGACAACATAATAGAACGACGTCAAAGCGTAACCCCTGTTAAAAAAAAATAAAAAAAAAAATTTTTTTTTTGCAATTTCAAAATTGTTATATGTGGAAGTGGAGTTGACCGTTAAGTCCTCGGCCCTGATGCTCAAGCTGCCATGGATATAGGCTTCCACCATTAAAAATCTTAATATATAGTTGGGGCGAGATAACCGTAAAGCACTTACGATAAACATCCAGCATCAAATGGTATATCTCCATAACATCCAAGTGCCTCAGATCTTTCGTACATTCTGCGATCGCTTCAAGCGCGTCCAATCGTTTCTCGTTGGCGAATCGTTCACAGTATCTTAACAAGGCCTCGGGGTGAAAACTGAATTTGGGGTCTAAGAAAAGCTGCCTCAAGGTTTTCTTGTATCCGACGTCGGCTAAAGCGGCTATTAGGGAAAGCTGGAATTTATGTAAAAATGCGAGTTAGTGAATATATTGGTAGATTTTTTATTATGTATAATTTCTTTAATATTTTTAGGAAGAAATAAATGTACGTTATTCGATAAGGCCGTTGCACAAAATTAAACTATACATACAGTACCAGGCAATTTTTTTTTAACGATAAAATCTAATAATAGTCAGAATTCAATATCACAAACCTTGGATTTAGAATTTTGCTAATGCTAAACATAGAGCACGATGCCGAAATAAAAAGTTATGTGGAAAGTCCACTGCAAATGTGTCTCCCATTAAAGTATACGAGCCCTACCGAAGTAGCTGGTGAAATAAAACACCTCAAGGATGGCAAAGCACCGGGATACGACCAAATCGATAGCGTACTTCTAAAAAATCTCCCGAAAAAGGGTATATTAGCTATTGTTAACATATTTAAAGCCTGCTTAAGACTCTGCCACTTTCCAGGACAATGGAAGATAATAGCCCAGGTAAAAATGTTACCTAAGCACGGTAAACCACCAAATGAAGTAGCGTCATACCGACCTATAAGTCTTTTGCCCTACGTGGAAAAAACACATATGGACAAAGCAAAAGCAACTGGACTTAAAACTTCGCAGTATGCACTGGTTAATAGGACGACACTCACAAATGAGCACACACAGCAAGTTGACTGTATATAAAGCCATCATGAAACCAATATGGACCTATGGCATACAGCTTTGGGGTACTGCTAGCAACAGTAACATTGAGCTACTGGAAAGATTCCAAACCAAAACACTGAGGACCATATTTAACATCCCTCAATACATCAGTAATAAGATCATATACCTAGAAAGATATAGCATCAATTACCAAAAAAGACTCTCAAACCACAAAAATGAGCTTGGCCTCAAACTCAGTGGAGATCAAAGCCTTCAACACAAAAGATTGAAGAGACATAGTGTCCCAACCTTAAAAAATAGATTCCTCAGGATGGAATGAGACTTCTACTGGAGAAGTGTCTCACCACGCTAAAAAGCCTAAGCGGATACACTCGTACCGGACAAAGTAGTGGCTTATTGTTGTGTTCAACAGATTGCCGCGGAAAGAAAGAAGAAAAAAACATGCTAAACATAGATGGCGCAATTTTTAATAATTATTTTATAACAAAGTAAGAGCGTTGTTTAATCTCTTATGTACTGAATCAAAAAACTTATTTCCTTATCGTTGGTTATTAGTTAAGTAGACACATATCATTGGAATCTATTTCGAATTGTTGTAAAAACCCACGACCAACCAAGGGCGAATTGAGTTTTGCCAATTATTATTGGTTTCATCGCTAACGTGAAATGTTAACCACAGGTAATATATGTACATAAATCATAAATACACAGATAATATCATTCAATGACTCTATGCTAATAAATAAATAAATAAAAATAACGGAAACTATGTTCAAATCAAAAGATCTTACCCGCACATCACTCGTTCCATGAACAGTCTTGCAAACATTAAGTATGGTGTTCACCATTTTATTATATCTGCCATTGACCTTCTCGGTGACCAGGAAGAAATCCTCGGACTTCCCCTCTCCCATCATCCTCAGTATGCTGCACAGTAGCTCGTGTTTTAGGGGCGTCTTGTTATATTTCTTTGCAAGTCGAACGAACTCGTTGACCGCTTCTTGGAAGTTCTCACTGAAAATTAAATTATAAGTAGTGTTAATCAATAAATATACTGAAGAAGAAAAAACGACGGGTTGCACCCCGGGAGCGCCGGCAGAAGTGAAAACTTGAATATTAACTTTGTGCATTTTTGATATTTTGGAATGCTTAGGGAATAGCTTTGCAAGAATTTATTTAATTGAGCTCCACTCTCTCCCTCTTAAATCTTTTTAACAAGAAACGACTATCAGCTATAGAAAATAAAAAAGGTAGTCTTGTACAATTCATAAAATATACTTACGTTTTCAAATGCGCTCTTACTAACGGTCCTAGTAGTGAGTTAGTCGGCTTGCAATAGTTCAAAGAATAGAGAAGTTCAAACATTTTCCTCGTATCCACGTGTGAGCCCTGAGCTGAGATCGCGTCCAAAAGCCGCCAGCAATTCTTTGATATACTCTGACCGCCTGATACTCTCCTGAAATAGAGCAAAATATTGCATAACATAAAAACGATGTATAAAATATATGCAATGGGCGAACTTATCATACATAATAATAACAAACCTAAAAATAATTGTGGATAAGTGCGCAATTAAATAATCATGATTAACCAAAACTTAAAAATAACATAGACAGACTGATTAACATACCAAAACAGAGAGAAAAAAGCTAGTGAAGCTATAAGTTTTTAAGGTCTGATCCTCCTAGTTCTGTTTCTGTTTCATTATATTGTTCAAATAGGCAAGAAGGTATAGCCTTCTGCAACTGATACACGCTGTCGACTTCTTGGGTCTAAGGCATGCCGGTTTCCTCACGATAATTTCTCTAATCGTGTATAATGCGCACATAGACAGAAATCCTAAATCAGAGAAACTACAAACTCTAGGCTACACTGCTCGAGAGAAAAAAACAAATGTAAAAAAGTCTTTATTACTGTCAGGTATACCGAATACCTACGAGGAGGAAGTGATCTTACCGTTTCTTAGACTGCTCTTGTATCAACACAAAGGCTTGGCCGATCTTCTTTCTATAAACCATCAAAGTTGCGAAGTCGATAACTTTGAATTCGTCTAACATGAAGTTAGGGGCAGACCGGTTTAGATCAGCTAACGTGAGCTCAGCTAAGTCAAGCTCACCTAACTTCACGTGAAGGTCGAACATTGCAGCTTTCATACCGGCTGATAGAAACACCTGGAATCGTATTAAAGAAATATATTGCTTGTTTTTTTGGTAGTCATGGAGTGGTTTCGCTTTAATTTTGCTTGTCCTTTGCAATAGAAGGTATATCTTAGTATATATAAGTGCAATACAATTATGCGCTACTTCATTGAACTATATATAAATAGGTTGCGTCGTTAGACGATGTCATAGTGAAAACTTGTAAGTTGGCATTTTTTGGCAACTCCAGCCAATTAGTTAAAACCAGAATCGTTTTAACAAATTAGCCCTGAAGGAAAACTCACCTATAAAATGCTTAGGCTGTGCGGAAAGAGAACCGACATGGCAGTTATGCAAACATAATATAATTCTTATTTTGGCGTTGTATCATCAAGGAGCGTTCAAGTCTTACGTCACGCAATTCTTGGATTTAAGATTATTGACCCACCCACCCCAAGTGACGCGCCGTAACGTTTTTCTGTACCCAAATATAGTAAAACGTTTCGTGACCACCAAGTGACTCTTTATACCTAAAAGTAACATTATGTGGTGTAAAGTACTGGAAAGTCGAAAATAATATTAACAAAAACGCGTAATTCAATGAGCAATGTAACGTTTTACAAAAGGACCTCCCCTCCAAAATTCGTTACGTAATACTTGAACAGAGAGCGTTCACAAATCATACTTTCAATTTTTTCATATAATCAAGACTACACGTAGCATTGTAGAGAACTGAAATTCCACGGTTCTCTTTCCGCAGACTCTATAAAACTGAAGGCATTTAACCTATGTTCTCACATTAAAATAAGTTTAAATCACGAACCCCTTCTTTCTGACACCTGTCTGCGATCTCCCTGGCAGCTGGAAGATTCCCTTCCCTGCAATATTGTTGCAATAGCTTACGGAGTACGCCGCGTGTGTTCATCCCCTTAGCTTCTAACTCGCTTAAATGAGCGCGAAGAGAACCTTCGTTCATATGTTTCTGTATATATATAATGATTTTTCAAAATGTATGACTACCCACCCTCAAACTTCAATTACAAAAAAAAAACATTGGCGCTACAACCTCTTTAGGTCTTGGGCTCAGATTTCTGAATCTGTTTCATGATCATTTTTAAATTTGATAGGCAAGTAGGTGATCAGCCTCCAGTGCCTGACACGCGTCGTCGACTTTTTGGGTCTAAGACATATCGGTTTCCTCACGATGTTTTCCTTCACCGTTCGAGCAAATGTTAAATGCGCACATAGAAAGAAAGTCCATTGGTGCACAGCCGGGGATCGAACCTACGACCTCAGGTATGAGAGTCGCACGCTGAAGCCACTAGGCCAACACAACAAAATACTACCCTTTTTTCTAACAGCGGGTGCAATATATCATCACTTCCATCTATAAGTATGACGTATAAGGGTGCGTACAGACTATGTAACATATTATATAACTTGTGTTTTATAACACGTCCACATTATGTAACCTTGTTATTCAACATTATAACACAAAACAATACTGTACACATTAGAATAACAATGCAATATAACAATGGTATATAACCATTTTAAATAACAAAAGAAAAACAAAGAAACGTAGAAGGGTTCGTCCTAGCATACATATCAATAACATGTTATTATAACATGTTTTATAACATTCAGTGTCCACATTATCTGAAACATGTTGTATAGCAATGTTGTATAACATGTTATGTTATATAGTCTGTACGCACCTTAACATACGATATATAGATGAAAGAAATCTACTAAATAAACTTAAAATAGTTAAATAATGTGTCTTTAGATAAGGACAAAACATTTAATGGCCATCTCATGAAAACAAACTAGTCCATTCTTTATTCGGTTTTTTGAAGTCTGTTAAAAATAATTCAGTGCGATTGCACCGTTTTAATTTACTAAACTGTCTCTTTTTACCATAGCGATGACACGATTTAACAGAAAGAGACGAATTACTTAGAAGAGTGCTATTATATTGATTTAGGTTTAATGAATTAATTTTTTTTTTTAACAACTTTTCTCTAGAACTTAATCATAATATATATCTCATCGTTAAGGGCGCGTTCGTTTGTTAAGGAACGTTTTCGATCGACCATCTATTAGTAAAGGATTTTTCAAAATCGATTCATTGATCCTGAGATCCGACAACCTCACAAACTTAACCTCTTTATAACAAACAGGTTACTTGTGGAACTAGTTTCTGTTTACATTATTTAGTATTTTTTACTATTTATATTAGCTTCACAATACTTACTGGATGAGGCATATTTTGCACAAAGAACTCTCCTTCGTCTTTTAATCTCTCGTCCATAATATTTAAAAGAGCATCTTTTAGATTATCTTTATTTTTATGGTCTTCTGGTATATTAGATATGCAGATATCACACGCTGCCGTAGAAATCTTCATGGAAGTTGAACTTAAAGCCTGTAAGATAAAGGCGAATTCTAATAAAGTTTCTATTTCCTTGTTTTTATTAATAATTGTTATCCTATAAATAATGAGGTAGGCTGTAAATTGCCGCTGGTAGAATATTAAAAAAACCTTGGGGTGACTTAGGATCTAATCGACCTAATAATAGAGATATAAAGACGAGAACCAATGAAATCAAATATAATTTAACATTAAATTCTAGAATCAAATTTAATTTAACATTAAACTCTAAAATCAAATTTAATTTAACAATAAATTCTAAAATCAAATTTAATTTAACATTAAATTCTAAAATCAAATTTATTTTAACATTAAATTCTAAAATCAAATTTAATTTAACAATAAATTCTAAAATCAAATTTAATTTAACATTAAATTCTAAAATCAAATTTATTTAAATATTAAATTCTAAAATCAAATTTAATTTAACATTAAATTCTAAAATCAAATTTAATTTAACATTAAATTCTAAAATCAAATTTATTTTAACATTAAATTCTAAAATCAAATTTATTTTAACAATAACGTACCCATTCAAATAAGTCTGTCAATCTAGTTATGAACAATTCAAACTTCATTTGAAGTGCTTTTTAAGCTAAATTGATTACCAGCGTACCTTAACGATATTCAAAACATCATTGACATTGTCCGTGACATGTTTGCCTTTCATAAAATGACAAAGACACCTTCCGATCCAATCCTTACTGGTATCTACAGCCTTCGTCGTCATATCCTCTAGTATGTGTATGGTAGATTTCAAATCTCCACTCATTTGATATCCTTTATATAATGCTTTTATTAAACGCTCACAATCCACTTTGCCTTGGAATAGTTCACCTGAAAAAGAAATAATAGATTTAGTAAAATATGTTGACAAACGTTCGGTATTCTATATACCTACTAGTTGCCGATCAAACATCTTAAAATTGTCTAAATATGATAATTTCCATACAAATTTCCATGTCACGTCTGTGGCAAAATATATTTGTTTGGCCCTAGACTATGACAGGAAAAGCTTATATTCTTTGGTTTACGCGAGTAATACTCATTATGTATTGTCTTTTATTGACATAACTTTTACACATTTAAAGAAAACACTTTTTTACCAGATTGAAGTTATGTATTATTATAAATTTACAATTATTTTACATAATTTTAAATTTTTCCGACGTTTCGCGTGCTTTACAGCGTGCGTGGTCACGGTGACTGACAGTAATTTAAACTTCATAATAATACAGAACTTCAATCCGGTAAAAAAGTTTTTTCTTTAATACTCATTTACATTTTTTTTACAAATCGCGAGTTTATTAAAGTAACAAGTCCTAGGTAGCGAATGATAAATATTTTTATTCCATTTTCTAAACATAAAAGAAGTTTTACTTAAAAGTATGTAAGTATGAAAACCCGTCAACACAGAACAGTAACAGAAACCCCACGATGGCGATATTTAATCCTAACTGAAAAACTCAACAAAAGATTTAGTGGTTGGAAAAAAGGTGTTTTAAACTATTTTTTAACATAACTTTATACGTACATATTTCGCTTGCAGCTCGTACTTGACCCGTATTCAGCAAAGTCTCCATCATTGGAGTCAATACCGAACTTGCATTGAGACCCGTTTCTAGGAATTTCTTCATCAGATTCTGAGGAGACGTGAAGCTGACGAAAGGAAGTACGTAGAGGAAGATTGTGTCATAATCTGGTTTCACATCCATAGTCACCATTGTTGATAGCGTGTTCATGATACCTAAATTTGCATACATTAATAATTTAAAAAGACCCCTAATGATAGACAACAGAAATGGCACTAATGCAAAACGGGCGACTAATGAAGAATTACAAATAGATAACAACGCTTATAAAATTAAAAAATATATAATTTTAGATTAGAACTAGCTGACCCGGCAACAGTTGTTTTGCCATGTATATTATTTCTAGGAAACATCTTTTTAGTTCAATAAAAAATAACTACCTACTATAATAAAAAATAGGGGTTGATCGTAGAGGGGTAAAAATTAGAGGTTGTATGTATTTTTGTATGCTGTATCACAAAAAAAATAAAAAATAAAAAAATGGTCCTAAAAATAAAAAGTTTTGGGGTGTACATCCCTTATCACTTAGGGGTTTGAAAGATAGATAGTAGCCGATTCTCAGACTCACTGAATATGCATAAAAAAATTTATAAGAATCGGTCGAGCCGTTTCGGAGGAGTTTGTGAACGAACATTGTGACACGAGAATTTTATATATATAGGATAATTAATATAATATAAATATAGAAAAATCCTACAAAATTTTTATTGAATACCAATAAAATGGGATGATTAAAGAATTATTGAATAATAATAATAATTAATGAATTACATCTAAGTAAAATTCTGGGTACATACTAATAAAAAAATTACTTTTGGCAAGATGCTTTAAAGACCAAGAAAAGCTAAACTGAGATTCTGGCTCATACAGGTGTTCATTAAAAAAAGTATGTTAGTTATTTACTTTGAGTCATGTTTGTATTGGAATGATTTTTATAGTCAATCACTAAATTAACTTATGAAATAATTGTGCCGTAGAAAATACTCACCCTTTTCTCCATATGTTTTTGAACTATGCAACAATATAGGCCAGAAGTAATGTGGTCTTAATGGCATTCCGAGAAGCTTCATTCTAGTGAACATTTCCAAGGCTAAGGGTACTTTTCCTAATTGCAAAGCACATTCCGATGCATTTTGCAGTGCTATAGGGTTTCTCCCAGACGACATCAGCTCTTGCGTTACAAGGGCTATTACACTTGAGGGCTGTAAATTTGTAAGTACTCTAATAATTGCATTCATTTTATCTGTTAATTAAATTATTTTAACATATAATGTCACTACATATTTCAAAGAAACTAGTCTTATAGTCCCAAATCGGCATGTGTCAGACACTGAGAAATACATTCTTTTCTTGTAAAATCCTCAGGATTTCAACAGTTTGAAAATACTTAAATTACTAGCTGGCTGGTGGAATTTGCAGAAGTATGCTTCATAGAGTAATTTGATTAAATATTATAATTGACAGTATCTTACCAATGACGCTTTCACACAATCCCTGACTAAACTTCTTCCATGTAGTCCTTGGTCATCTTTAGGCCCAAAAGAAGGCAATGGCAAACATTTGTAGATCTCAAGAGCAACCAATGGATGGTTTTGAAAAACAAGTAAAGTTGCCACACTTTGCATATATGGTGAAATTGATGGTGATTTTAGTATAGCTTCTGGCAAATACTGTAATACCTAAAACAATGTAAACAATACCACATAAACAAATGTTTACCCCAAATAATTTAACAATACACAGAAATATTAAATTATATATTTTTTTAATCTGTCAAATGCACTTTCAATTACTAGATATGGCTCGTTATAACCAAGGTATAATGCTATATAATCTTATGTTATAGTCGATTCATCTAAAGATATTGTGACAGTTAACTATAGAATACACTCATTTTTATACTAACCTTTGGCACTGGCTCATAATTTACAACATCAGCTAAACTTTTTACAATTTCCATGATGTGGGTTTCTTCAAACTGAATCTCATTATTTTCAGCTTTCTTCATCTCATCAAGAAGCATATTGTGCTTTTTATTCCAAGCATAAGCTCTTGCTATTGCGGTGTAAGTGTCAACAGATTTGTTTATTTTTAAAGATCTCATCATAGTTGTTACTTCTTGGATGCCACTTAATTTTCTAAAACAAAAATCAAACCTTTAATGAAAATAGAAAATTACTAATCTATAAAATATATATATTTAAAAAAAATACTCCAAATTATGTTAATATAATTTGATAATATGTATATTCAATAATCATTCTCTATAATCTACTCCAGACTAATCTCTATAGACCAACCTCCAAAACACAGGCCTACCATTTTTATTGAAAACATTGAGTCTATTTTCAGTACCACGTAAAAATTCAAACCCATGATATGGAGTTCAACATGCTTACCACATGACCAGTTATATTAAGTACAGCCTATATTACTAGCAGATAGTTTCTATGTGTATATTTCTATTTATATTACTTATATTAAAAACTTGAAAAAAATAACTTACCCAGCTTTACCATAGCAAACAATAAGTGAGTTGAAAACATTCTCACTGGCTGGTATTTCTAAAGCTTTCATGTTTGAAATCACTTCTGTAGCTCTATTAATATCACCCGCCTGTCATGTAAAGGTCATACAAAATTGGTTATTTCCAAAAAAAAATGTTAGATTATTAAAAGGATATTTCATTATAAACATACTATGTCCATTACCACAAGATTATCATTATTAGATGATTAATTTGTCACCTAATTCTTAGTCCTGAATAAAAATAAGAATTATCAACTAACCTCACTTAAAGCCTTTAACATCAGTTCATAAGTAGTGTTATTCGGTTTAACAGGAGACATCTGGTCTATGAAGTTATTAGGTATCACTGTCCTCATGTTTGCAACATATACTCTCAGCAGTTCATTATAATGGTCTATATCGAATTTTGTATGGCATCTGAAATTTTTCTAATATATATTAGTAATATTTCCATACCCATATTGAAATCTTTATAGCATTTTCCTGCATATACATTTTACAAAAAGAAAATCTTTTACAAACTCTTGATTACTGTTCCCATTAAAGGAATGAATGATTCCTGACTGGCTATATAACAGAAAATTACATTATAAAATCCATAGATACTTTTCTACAATTATACAATATCTTACTTAACAGTATTCCATATTTCCTCAACCAATATCATTCTTGCGGCTGGGGTCTCATCAGGCAAGAGTTCCGAACAGCAACTTATGAGGAGCAGCTCTTGTTTTTTAGTAGAGAATTTAACTTCCTTAATTTTATTTATCACTCTTATCAAATCATTTTTGTATACTCTATGCCTTTGATAGATATCTGAAGAGAGGTTAGCAATTAATTTTTCTAATAAGTCCTCTGGTGATAGATTTTTGGTTAATCTTGTAAAGTCCTTTGGTAATGCTCCAGAAAATAGTATTCTATTTTTACTTGAAATATTTTCAGAACTGTGTTCCCTCTCACGACCAGTAACTTTTCGAATTTGTCTGTAATAAATAGTTTAGGATGAAGACTACTAAAGATCTAGGTTTACACTTATCTAGATATATGGATTGATGGATGATTATATTAAAATTTAAAAAAAATATTAAAGTTGATTTCCCAACCTATATTGTAGATATTCACAATTACAACAGAGAGGTGGAAATTTTCTATTTAAAAACGACTTCCTCTTTATTAATGTTGTAAATATTTGTCTCGTTAACATATTAAATTTATTGTAACAAATTTTATGAATAAACTTTAATTTATTATTATATATAGAAAGGAATAATACAATGGATTTGAAAGTCTTATCAAATAACAATATAATTTCGACATCTACCGCAATTTTTAATTTTCGAAATTGTTATTATTAGTTATGACTTATGGGCTGTCAACTTTATTTTTTTTATAATTATATGGGCTGGTAACGAGCGTTTTAAGCCGAGTCATATACAATACAAATCTAAAACTTTACATTTCCGAGGCTTATTAGACGGATTGAATAAAATAAGATAATATTATTATGTTAGAATCTAGGAATTAATTGAATTTAATTGTCATTAAAATATTAAAAGTGTCGAAAATTAATACAAATTATTATATATTTTTTTTTATTTATTTCTTCGATAATAAAAACACATGGCATTTTAATATACAATTCGTCATTTGAGATTTCAATAAATTATTTTGCATAAAATATAAAGTACTAATATTTCATAAATTCTCTTTACGAAATTTTAATTTTATAAATACATTTTCTATAAGGTAATTCGCCCTTCTCACTGTCACTCAATCGGTCTCAAACGCTCTAGCCCTTTGCTTCGACAAAAACGCTGCACATCTTTGTGACGCTAATATTATAAAAAATTTACCCTCATGCGACTAAAGAAGTTTCACTTCAATAATATTGGGAGGATTTAACTTTTATTAGGTTTATAAATGTGACATTCATTTAATCCTGAGACAATATGACGAAATCAGATGCTACGAACAGTCAACAGCAGCTCGAAGCTACGCTGTCGACTTTGCAGTAATGTAAGTAACAACTAACAAGTCTCTTGGCTGCTAACGAAGCCTTTTCTACAATACAATTACGCAAAAGCAACTATGTAGAATACTTTTCTATTCTATATCATTTTCTTAATTAATTTTAGACAACAATAACATAATTTACCTCTTTCTAACGCATTACTATGAGTTATGACATTAGAAAATAAAGGATTAACTAAATATAATATATGTTATATGTTTTTATAGTATATAACACTATAATTATTATTCTATGAAGCCGTCAGTCGTGGCTTGACAATTGAGTATTGACTATTCTTAGGAGAATTGAAATTTTATTGTAGTCTGTGAATCGTATTTGAGAAATGAGAATTGTGATTCAGTTTTTGACTAACGAATCTGAATTCTGATTGTCATTTTGTGGATGTGGAGTGTTTTGTGTTGTGAACTTGTGGGTAAATGTTAATAAAATTCTTTAAAATCCTGTCATATGGTAAGTTTACGTAACTATAATTTGCTTTTTAATATCTGATTAAGACATTACGAGTGCTAACTTAATTTCTTGACGCTTGCGGCTTGACCATATAGTCTAGCCGTTATTTGACCGCCATCGCCGCGGTGGCTGCTGATCATAGTGACACCGCCTTTGCATAAAATGTATATTGTTTTTGCTACAAATTAAGTAATCCCTGCACTCGATGTTTAGTTTAAATATGCAATATATCAGCCAATATAATTCTTATTAATGATTAGGTAACCTATGAAAGTACACAGTAAATTTCAAATAGGAACTTAAAATTTAGTTATAATAATATCAAAAACATCTGTAAAAATATTTGTAGGTTAGGTATACATGCAACATTGTAAATTGTTTCTAACCCTGTGGACACCTGGTATAGTTAACAATTACCAGTGCAAGATTCTGTATCATTATACCTATTAATCATATGCACAACAGACCAAACAAGCATCTAAGTGCGGAAATTGAGTGCATACTACTACACAACCTATTAATCATACTATCCTGTTTTCTTCCTTACTCTACAGTCTACACCGATAGCTAGTTTGACCAATATGTTTGTAATTGTAGTATGAGGTCACCATAATGTAAATTGACACCAATTTCTTTGATTAAGACCTTACTTGTCAATTATTTCACCTACTTATATAAGTAATAACTGAACATTAATAGAATTCAAGAGTTTATACCTGTAGCCACATAATAAAGTTTCATTGTCATTCAGAGTTGCTTTTTAAACAGTATGCTTTTGCTAGGAGAATACTCTTTTTCTGTTCTAATAGTTATTTATTAAACTTATTGATGTAGTAACCACAATTTTATTTTATAGAAACCTCTCCTTTATTAAAAAAATAATTTTTCTTTGTATTTTAATTAAACTTTTCTATCTAGAATTATACAATTCTAACATTTTCCTTGACTCTATTAATAAAATCTGAGGTAATAAATAAAAGCCTCACACTTATTTGGACTTTATTTTACCCTAGTAAATCTGCTGTTTGATTTTGGCTAAGTATTTATTTGGCCCAACATTATTAATCAGTAGTAAGATGCCTAAAATCTATGTAACTGGGAATCGGAAACCTTTATTAAAAACAAAATCTGTAATTTATGTAAAATGTAGTGGAGTTATGCAAATACCAACTTTGTAGTTCAGTTTCAATGCACTCTAATCTTAATATAAAATGCCTATGTTATTTTAATGTGGTGGCAGTCTCTTACTGGCTAAGGATTGCTGTAAAATACCCAAAAACATCAATTAGTGTCAATAATGTAATCATTCGGTTTTTATATCTGTTAAAGAAACTTTAGTTATATGTTTAGTGCTCTTCTAAACTAAAGACATTATTTAATTCCTTGTAGAAGTTTGAAAAACAAATTTTGCTACTAGAATTACCCCACTTGGTACTAAATCTACACATTTTTTAAAGTACATAAAAATCTTCTAGTCATATAGTACTATATGATTTTTATCTATATTTGTAATACAATAAGATTATAACTACGTGAAAACAATAGTAAAATATATTTAAATCACAACGATAAGTCATAATTGCGGCTTTATTTCATTTTATGTTCAACTGTGCATGGTGGTATGGCAAGGAAGTATTGAAATATTATAAGGTATTTGAAATCATCATATCATTTGTTTAGCTCCTGGTACTACGTATTGTTGTTATGCGCCACTGTGCGTCTGCGCCGGATGGCAACTGATTCATCATTGCTAGTTGTGACTCGACAGTGTAATGTTTATTATACTTTATGTCCTGAAACGACATATTGTTGAAGCTTAACAAGTATATTTTGTCTGAAAATGTACGTACGTACGGCCGAAAGTATATTTTACGCACAATGGACCAAATGGGTGCGGAAACTTGAGTCCACACTACATACTGCAAATGTACGACATGGTCTTAAACAGTTCTCAAACATTAAATGAATGCTTAATATTATTCAGCCTGAACGATAAAATAGCTAATTATTCTCCAAAAATATAGTACTGCTGCTTTTGCTTTTGATTATAATTTATGAATAAATTATATGAATTATTATTTATGTTTAGTGGGCGTTCCGGACGGAAGCTCTAACAGCGGTCCGTGGGCGAAGAGTCAATCTAGCGCTCGATTCATTAATTCGGAATCAGTGTTCAATATTTAAATTCCGAACATCAGTAATTGTATTTCCAAAAAAATTATATTTTGAAATTTATTATTCTATCGGTGTTTACTCTATAAATAAATGTTATATTTGGTTTAAAACCTTTTTTGGTAATAAAAAATCTTTCATCCTGGAGAGCATAGAAATTATTCGATGACATTTGATAAAAATTACCTATGTCACTTAGTTATTAGAAAACAAAGTTTTAGTTCCTTACTGTAGAGACTAAAACTATAGAATTTATGTTAAATGAATGTCGTGTCTAAACAAGAGAAGTGTGAAAAGAAATCTAAATGTTAATTTCGACATTCATAGCAATTTACGTTCTTCCGACATAATAAACTCAATCTTTATGCGTAGCATTCATTGTTATTTTAATTGTGATAATTGACAGCGTAATCATTAACAGAGACTTTAAATGATCTTAGACGGTTGGACTTTACTGCAGTCCAGGTTAAAAAAACAAATTTATACTTCAAGTTTAAAGATGAAAAAAAATTATATTTGCCGCTACAATTTCCGTATGCCTGTTGACTATAAAAAGAGCGGTCTGAACCAAGAAAAGTACATTCTAAATTTACAGAACATTATAAATTGACGACTCATTGGTCTAGTGGTTAGTACCCCTGGCTGCGAATCCATGGGTCCCGGGTTCGATCCCGGCTGAGACGAATATCGATGTGATGATGTGATGTTGTGCTTAGGTCTTGGGTGTTTAAATATGTATTTATATGTCTATCTATCTATAATATGTATGTATATCCGTTGCCTAGTACCGATAACACAAGCTTCACCAGCTTAGCATGGGACTAGGTCAATTGGTGTGAATTGTCTTTAAACAAAAAAAATTGAATTGCCATGTAATTTTGTTAAGAGAATTCACTTCATTCTGATTCCTTTAGTGAATGTAACTTATTGACGTTTTACCCTAAAAAAACCCCATATAAAAGATATGGCATTTAACATTTAATGTATTATGTAACTATACATTTTTATCCTTATTGCAAAACCTCTTCTTGAATCACGCGATCGAAAATTGCTGGTTGCCGGATGACTTTTATAGCTCCAATATTTCATTGGGCTTGTTTGAGTTCCACCAATTTTAGAATTTGATTGCGTTACGACTTACTTTGATTACTTTTCCTAAAGGGGTTTTGTTGTGCTACTTGATGAAAGTGACAGGCTTCTTTCAAACAATTTCCTAAGGAATCCATTAAAACACTTTCTTCAGTAAAAAATTTTTAAATTGTTTATTAACTCCAGAAGTACTAATAATTTCGTAGTAAAATATTGATTTTCTTTTTGACATGTTCAAATGTAGCATGATATTTTGGAGAGTTATCAAAATGGATGGCCTCCTTTTTGGGAGTTTGACTTATCGCATTTGTTAGGATAACTGTGAATCCTAACATAATACTTTGTACGTAATGCTTGCTCTTGAATAACCATGAATTATGATGGTGAATTTAGATTCTATACACTTAAAATACTGTTATGTGACCAAAGCGTAAAAAGTAAATAAAAACAATATAAATAAA